CTGCAAAGTCAAGGCAGCCCCTAAAGCATCTGGGCATATCACATCCACAGTCAGGAAGCAGAGAGAGATGAAGATGAACACATATATAGTTCAGCTCCCTTTCTCCAGGATACTAGCCAGGGAATGGCACCACCCACAGTGGGCAAGTCCTCCCAACTCATTGAATGCGATCAAGATTAACCCCACCCCCTCCAGGCATGCCTAGAGGCCCTGGGTGGTTCTAGGTCCTGTGAGGTTGACAGTTGACATTGCCATCACAGTATCTGTCCTAGTTTCCTTTCCGTGGGCTGTGACAAAGCACTCGGACCCAAAGTCACCCATAGAGGAAAATATTTGTTTGGCTTACACTTCCAGGTCACAGTTATCATTATGAGAAGTCCAAGCATGAGGTGAGGCTTTGTTGTTTCACACAAGATTACCTCCAACCAGAATATACTCACAGCCACAGGAGTACAGCAGAAACCATGGAGGACGCGGCTTGCTGGCTCACCCAGGTTCATGCATAGCTAGCTAGCTTCCTTATACAGCCTAGGACCACCTGCCCACTATAAACTGAGCCCTCCTGCATCAACTAACATTCAAGGCAATCCCCACAGCTATGATACAAGCCAGTCTAATCTAGACCTTCTAAGGGTTTTGGACCAATGTGTCATATGCGATTTATGTTGTAAGATCATTTGGGAAAATGTTGCCACACACCCCCAAATCCTCTGTTCTGCCAAAGAGTGTGTCTCTGTGAACCTAGGAAGCCTGAAAAGCTGGGGTGCGGCTCAGTGGGTAGAGTGCTCGCCTGGCATGCATGAAACACTGGCTTCCATCCCCTGCACTGCACAGATCGGGAAGAGGTGCTGGTCTGTGATCCCAGCACCCTGGAGGCAGAGGTTCAGGGTCGTCTTCAGCTAGTTGGAGGCCTAGGATACACAAGACTACGTCCAGGGAGGAAAAAACTGACAGAGAAGAAAATAGAAATCATTTTAAATCCTGCTCCTCTTTCCATCACTTGCCTTTCTTTTGGGCTTTAGGGTACAGGTGTGTGTGTGTGTGGTGTGTGTGTGTGTGTGTGTGTGTGTGTGTGTGTGTGTGTGTGTGTGTAATTTGGGGGGAGGTGAGACAGCATCTCACAATGTAGTTCAGGCTGACCTGAAGGACTTCATAACCCAGACTGGCCTTAAACTTGTGGCAGTCCTCCTGCTTCAGTGCTGATTACAGGCATGAGCTCTGGGCTATGGACTGGGGCTTCACTGTGACCACTCTGGTGTCTTCCTTTGTCATGACCCATGCTCTGTCCTGTGTGGACCCTGTGACCTCTGGAGTTGGATTCTGGCTCCGTATCCTCATCTATAAGAGGAAGATGACAGTGGAGTGTGGAATGAGAGTGTTTGGGAACTGTGAACTTTTGCCCTCACATTCAGAATGGTCCTTGCAGCTGGAAATAGCCCTTAACATGTGCATGCCGGGCGTTGGTGGCGCACGCCTTTAATCCCAGCACTTGGGAGGCAGAGGCAGGCGGATCTCTGTGAGTTTGAGGCCAGCCTGGTCTACAAGAGCTAGTTCCAGGACAGCCTCCAAAGCCATAGAGAAACCCTGTCTCGAAAAAAGCCAAAAAAAAAAAAAAAAAACATGTGCATGCGTGACTGTGTAATACTCCGTCACTTGAATGTATAGCACTTTAGTTTACAATGGAGTTGTGCTCCAATAGGCCCTCATCAACTGAGCATCACAGCTTAGTGTAGCCCACCTTAAGCACATTCCCACTAACAAAACATCAAATAGCTAGTGAGTTTATTGCATTCTGCATGAGAGTGTAAACAAAATGACCACCTGGATATACCTCTGCCCATCATGAAGTCAAAGGATTGAGGGAGAAAACACCATAAGTGGGGACCTCCTGTGCCTCAGTTCCCTTACATATCAGGATGACATGTACGCAGAAGGCCATGAAGGCAGGCAACCTGGGCAGCCCAGCAAATAGTGCGTATTTGGTGGGGTCTGCCTCCAAATTCCCTGCCCTGGAAGGTGTCCCCTGATGAGCCCTGTTCCTAGTGAAGGAGACACAAGCACAGGAAGAGAGAGACAGAGACAAGGAGACATGATGAAGGGTCTGACCAGGCTGAAAGTCCAAGGGGCATTAGCTGGGCAAAGTGTGGACATGAGGAGGCCTAGAAGGATATAAGAAGTGGGGTCTGGGAACACAGAGCATCACACAGCCCATGCTGGCAGGAGAAACATGGTAAGATGTAGGATTCAGCAGGTCTTCCCCAACCCCATGCTACCCATAGCACCCGGGGCCTGGCATGCCACTACCCAGATCCCAACAACAGTCTTTATGGATGATGACAGGGACCCAAGATGCCTGCTGGTTTCCTGCCTTGGCTCTGGTGCCCAGATGAATCCATGTGCCCAGAGCAGCCACCATGCTGTAAAATGTCAACTAGCCTGTTGTGCCCCAGTTGGACACCCCCAACCACCACCATATGAGTCTCCTCTCCATCCCAGGCACCTCCTCACACTCTTGCTCTTTCTAGAAGGCTCCCCATTGTTAGCTAAAGTCCAGCTTTCACAAGAGTCCCTAGGATTCTGGCATGTCCCCGTCACAGTTTCTCTGTCCTAAAATGTGCGTGCAGCATTTGTTTGTCTTTCCATTCTGTCCCCTCTCTCCTGCCACTGCCCGCTCATCACCGACCTCTTTTTATCATCTCCTGGTTACACCCGGTGCTCATCAGAGAGGGGACCACCGTCTCCTTTGTCAACCATTAACTTACTTAACTCATTTAACTCCCCAGCTCAGAGCCTGCCACATTAGTGCTGCCCTGTAAATATTTTTCCTTGCATATTTTAATAAAAATAAGATTCCATTCGGCACACAAGTCGGCAATTTGCTGTTTCCAAATATTGACAATACATCTTGGGAGTCTGCCCATCTCAGGGTAAGGCAGACTTGTTCACACAGGCACCTGCTTGCCTCCCCAGCTCCCCACTAGTTTTGTGGGTTTTGTCTTGGTTTTCTGGACAAAGACTCTATAGCCCTGACTGACTTGAGATCCCCCTGCCTCAGCCTCCTGAACACCAGGAACTGCAGGTGAGCACCATCATGTTCAGATCTCTTTAACTTTGGGCTTGAACTTTGTATTCCCCCCCCCACACACACACAAAGAGAGCCTCCTGCTCCAGCCATCTTTTTCCCTAGTGTCTCTACTGTGTAGTCCTCTGTCACCCAAAACCACTTTCAGTTGTCCCATAACTGTACTTGTATTTCTGGATTTTTCTAGAAGACAGAGACTTTAAGAACCAGTGTGCAATAGCATCATGACAGCCGATACACAGTAGTATCATAAACGCCCCCAATATCAGTTGCCATGTGCTCTCTAGGTACACTTGGCATTCATCTGACTGCACCTGGCCCTGGATTGACAAGCCTTTGAGGTTCCTCAAGGGTTTGCTGGACTCCCCTCCCTTCAGAACAGCCTTTATCCTCTGTCACCCATCTAGTGAACAGCCAGGTACCTGCCTGCACCGTGTGGGCTGCATCCCACTAGGTGGCATTCAGTGTGTGGCTCTGTCCTCGGTGTTTCTGGTCCAGACTTGGTCTGATTCGAGTGGTGAACATTCTAGAAAGTTCATTTTCTGGTTGTGTCATCTGTGTTCTGGGCTGTCATGGCTCCATTCTTAGGGTCCCCATCTCTATCATGAAATGCTTCCATAAAAAGGAAGTACCCTCATTGATGTTCGGTTACCCTGAGATAGAGCTTACAGAAGACAGGCAGAATCCATGCTTATTGCTTTCCCTTTATTTACCGGTTTGCACAATGATGAGCTGCCTATGAATATTTGAGTAAATGGTGAATAATACATGTGTGGGTGAACTGACAGGGCTGAGGATCTGGGGTTCTTTCTGTCACCCTCAAGTGCCTGGGTCTGTAGGCTTCAACCAGGACTCTGTGCACAGAGAAGGTGCTGGGGCATGGCTTCTACCTGTCGCCTGTCTACCCACCTCAGTTAAGAGCTAGGGTAGGCGGGGAGATGTAGCTTAGTGGGTCAAGGGTTTACCTAGTGTGCACAAAGCCTTGGTTTCAATCTCCAACGCGCGCTCGCGCACACGCACGCGCGCGCACACACACACACACACACACACACACGCTAAACTAATTTAACTTTGGGGCTGAAGAGATGACTCAGAGGTTAACAGCACTGACTGCTCTTCTAGAGGTCCTGAGTTCAATTCCCAGCAACCACATGGTGGCTCACAACCATCTACAAGTCAATCTGGCGTCGTCTTCTGGCATGTGGGCAGAACACTGTGACAAATAAATAAATCTTTTAAAAAATTAATTTAACTTTAAAAAATGTGTGTGCTAGCCAGTACCTATACTCCTAGCTCTTGTGGGGTGGATATGGGAAGATCAGAAGTTCAAGGCCTTCCTTGACTATGTAGCTGATTCAAGGCCAGCTTGGGCTATGTGACCTGCTCTCTCAAATAATAAAAAATAAACCAGGCGGTGGTGGCATACGCCTTTAATCCCAGCACTTGGGAGGCAGAGACAGGCAGATCTCTGAGTTCAGGGCTAGCCTTATCTACAGAGAGGGTTCCAGGACAGCCAGGGACACACAGAGAAACTCTGTCTCAAAACTGATTATTTAATTAACTAATAAATTAATATAAAAAGGAGTTAAGGTGGTCAGATCACTGAAACATCTGGCATAAGGAAATCTCTCACCACTTAGGAGCAGAAGTCCAGGAATCCGGCCACAGAAGGCAGCCAAAACCAACCTCAGGGGGTCCAGAGCACCCCTGGCTGGGAAAGGTCTCCAAACTACAAGAGTGGACGTTGCTCCTCTTTGTCTTGAAGGAGAGTCTGAGTGTGCAACGAGCCACTGGCCTCCAGAGTCCCCTCCAGGGCAGCCAGCACAGTCCTGGCCAGTCCTGCTCCTGAGTTCTTGCCTTCACCAGAGGCGGGCTCTGGAGCTCACTACTGACCTCCCCCGTCCTCTGGTCTCCTCAGGTGCAAGTGCAACCTGCACGCCAACCTGTGCACAGTGCGAGAGGGCAGCCTGCAGTGCGAGTGTGAGCACAACACCACAGGCCCTGACTGTGGCAAGTGCAAGAAGAACTTCCGTACACGGGCCTGGCGAGCTGGCTCCTACCTGCCGCTGCCCCACGGCTCTCCCAACGCCTGTACGTATGTAGCCAATCCAGTGGCAGTCCTCATCCTGTGCTCCAGGACACGTGTGCACGTGCACGCATACACACACACACACACACACACACACACACACACACACACACACACACACACACCGGAGGGAACAGGTCCACTCTGGAAGCAGAGCAGGAGACCCCGTGGCGATTCTGGACAGGAGGTCCAGGCGAATGCCCCTAACAATGAGTGCTTATGGGGTGTATGCAGCATGTCACAGGGTGCTTCTGGCACTGAATACCCAGCCTAGCTTCCAGCAGCCAAGCACTAACTTTCACACTTTGCAGAAGTGTCCTTTGAGACGCTTGTCTGAGCCCCTGCTCTCGGCCCAGACTTGTCCCCACCTCACTCACCTACCAAGGGAAGCCATGTGAGAGTTTGGCCCACACATGTCTGCATCACAAGCACCCTTTGCATGGGGGACCCCCAAACAGGCTTCATGAAATCACAGCTCCCACAAGTCTCTGGGGTGCAAGCGGAAGGGAGCCTAGGCTGTCTTCTCAGATCCCTGATACATGAGATGCACCAAATGACCTGCTCCAGATTGAGGCTGCCCCAGGATCCGTTACCACACATGGCTTCCCTGAGCCCTTACAATACCATAGGAGCGCCATGATTACTACCCCCCACCTTTACCCCCACACATGCAGATGAGCACCCAGAGGCCCAGCCAGCCCAGTGCCCTCCAGGTTCCACAGCCAGTTCCAGCCAACACGGGGCCCAGTGATAAAGCCAGGGTCCACATAGTTCCCAAATCACATGCCCCATCTGGCGCCCTCCGTCACCCCTAAAAGATTCATGTGGCTTTAGACTGATCAAAGCTGAAGGCTGTGGCAAGGCAGACGGTGACAGGCATTGCGCGTGGGCTACAGCCAGCACTGTGACAAGCCTTTGAAGGCATGACTTGCCAAGCACCGCGAGGCACTCAAGGGTCTTCAAAGGCACAGAGGGAGCTTGGCAGGCTGCTGGCCTGCCCCCTATCTAGCTGCCTCCTCCTGGGTGCCTCTCCCCATCTCTTTGTCTACTGAACCTTGCTTAGTCCTTGTTGCTACCTCTCGCTGGTGGGCTTGTCGCCCCTCCGTCTGCCCTGCAGCCGTACCCACCCCATCGCTTGCACTTGGTCCCTTCCTCAGCCTCCCGACTGTCACCTCCACCTGGCATCATGGGCCACGACTCCTACCTGAAGAATACCTAGGAGGGCCACTGTCCCCATGTCCTGTCACACAGACACACAGACCCCAGAGTGGCTTTTCTGTGTCTTATCTCCTTCTCCCTGCTTTAGGAACCTTCCCCCACCTCACCCCCACTCTATCCACCTCCTCTCTGGGACCTCCTCGTCACAACCATGGGGGGGCACCCCCTCCTAGACGCCCACCTACTTCAAAGCCTTGGGAGCGAAACCCTAAGTAGTCAGTTCCCTGTGAGATCACCCTGCCCTTCCCCTCCCTCCCTCCCTATCTCCCCATCCCAAATCCAAAGTCCTCTGCACCCAGTCTTTTGGGGTTGGATTGTCCCCCTGCATCCCTGGGAGATTGCCCTGCCCTCCCCCTCCCTCCCTCCCCATCCCAAAGCCAAAGTCCTCTGCACCCAGGCTTTTGGGGTTGGACCACCCCCCCCATCCCTGTGCTTTTCTCACCCTCAAGACCAAACTCGGGGTCCCCTTTCCTCTGCACCCCCTCCTGAGTCCTCGCTTAGCTCCCACACTCCCAAGCTCTTCCATGTCTCCCGCATGCGGTACCTGCTGGGTGTGTAGGTAGAGACTGGAGTAGGGGTCAGGAGAAACATGTGCCCGCCCAGCCCACTGTCCCCACCACAAGGCCTTTCTCAGAAACGCCTAAGGAAAAGCCATGACTGGCCCCTTCCTTTTGTGACTGTGACACTTCCACGCAGGGATGGTGACATCATTGGGTAAACCAGCCCAGGCTTCCCTTCCCACAGTGACACAGAATACCGAGAGACCTGGTTTCAGAGTCTCACACTACCGTGTCTCCCAGCAGGCCGCACCTCCTAGTCCCTGTTGATATCTCTGTCTTTGGGGACATTCTCTTGCCTCTTAGGGATCCTGAAAGTTAGGATTAAACAGGAGGGAATGCTTGTCACAGTGTCCTGGGGAAGAAATAGTTCACGGTATCCCTTCTGCAAAATGGACTGAAAGCAGCCTTCAGGCAGTCAGTGGTGAGAGCCCCATCGGTGTGGGCCCAGGCTGCCCCTGTGACCCAGCAGAGTCGCAGGCCCTCTAAGTCTCCTCCCCCTGAAAGACACCTCTGTGGGCTCCCCCTGCCTTGTACACTGTCCTGTGCCAGGTGAGGGTGGTCAGGCCTTGTCTGTAACACTGTTACCCTCTTGTGCCCCTACAGGTGCCGCTGCGGGCTCTGCCTTTGGCAGTAAGTATGCCACACTCAGTACAAGACTCTGGGGCTGGGCCTGGAGAGTGGACGTGAACAGGCTTGGCCTGTGTTCCCTGCATCTAATCACAGCAGTCTGCTCTTCCACCTCTCACCCCAGCTCTCCTAGAAGCTTTCTCATGCTGCTTTGGAAGAAGAACAGGGCCTTTGTGCATGTGTGGCCCCCTGGCCCCTGAGTGGACAGACTCCCTTGTCCTGCCACACCCCATTCCGTCATTTGTACACAGCCAAGAATAGGGGACCTTCTCTATGAGTGGCAGTGTCTGTCCTCTGAGTCTGACCACTTGGCACCTCCTCCAGGCAGCCGGCCTGCTCTGCCGCAGGCTGGAGGGGCAAGCTCTGATCCCAATGCTTGGATGTGTGGGGTGTGTCGGGCTGGGGAAGGGCATCTGCAAGAGTGCAGGTGTCTTTGAAGTCCCAGGAATGGTAGGGGCGTCTGACGTGGGTGTCTGACGACTCCCATCCACGTGGTCCTGCTAAGTGTTGAGTGGAGCCAGGTGACTATGCAGAGCAGGGCACTGCAGCATCCCATTTAGACATTGCAAACTCACCCCCTTCCCTCAAAGATCTACCTGCTTCAAGAGTCAGCAGGAAAGGGCTTGTCAGTGTCAAACTGTGGCAGACCCCAAACCTCAAGGATGCTTCCAAGTACATGGTCACCCTCCATCATGTTTCAGCGGTGACACGCCCTGACTGCCTGTCCTGCCTCAGCCAGGCTGGTCCCTCTCTAGGATGCTAGTGGCCAGAAGGAAACTGGACTCTGCAGGCACCACTGGTATTTGCCCCCAACATCAGAGCAAGGGAAGACTTCTCTGGGATGCCCCTATCCACCCTTTCTTGCTTTTCCCATGTCTTGCCAGGTACCAACAGGTCCAGCAAAGACCATGCCCCCAAAGCCCCTGTGGCCACTGAGGCCACAAAGAGGGGCCCTATGACTTCTATTCCCACCCAAGTCTCTACAGCTCCCAGCACCCCACAGTCCACAGGTAGGTATGAGAATACACCCAGGGATGCCTACTCCCCTCAGCTTGCCTCCCTCACCCAGGGAAGAGCAACACTTGCTTGCTTCTTAGAGTAGAAACTTAGAGTAGCACTGGCTGAGGGGTCCCCAGGCCGTCTCAGGAAATCATCCCAGCCAGGAGTCCTGGCCAAGGCAACCACTGACGCTCCTGTAATCTCCTAGTTCCCCCAAGCATTGTAAGGAAGGGTGCAGAGGCCAGTGTAGCGAAGGGGACCGGGAATCTTGTAGGAGGGTGCCCAGAGGTGGTACCTTGTCACCCAGACATGTTTCATCATCCATCCATGGAGCTGGCTCAGGCTCTGTCCCTTCCTGGCCACCTACTAGGTCCTCTGTGCAGCTGCTGGCCAGTGGGGAGAACAGAGCCTGATCAGTGGAAGAGATCAGGGCAGGAAGAGCCGAGGGAAAAAACAGATTCCTAAACACTTGGGAGCAGAGACAGGCCCAGGCCGGCTTCCCGCCTTGCAGCAGTGACTGCAGGTACAATTACACATGGGCCTACAGAGTTGGCTATTTGCCCTCCCAAGCAGGACTTGTGCATCCAGGTGGTATGGAGCCTGGTGTGGCCCTCTGGACTCATCTGGGCAAGTCTAGTCCACTGTGGATGCTGGGAATCTAAAGGGATTCCTCCTCCCAGAGGGTCCCAGCAAGATAGTGGTCAGGTAATTTCCTTCTAGCTTCAGTAACACATCCTCCTCCCTTCTCAGGGGAGACATGATAGCAGTTCCTGTTCCTTGGACCTTTCTTCTCTCTCATCCGTTACCCCTGCCTAGACACTCCTTGTCTCTGGAAGGTGACATCTGAAGACAGAGATCCCTCCAGCAGCTGGGGAAGGGATCAACCCCATGCTCTATCTTGTCTCTGCTGCCCAGGGTGGTCTCTCCAGGTCCAGTGACAGCCTTGAGAAAGTCACTTTCCCAGGACCATACCACAGCGCTCTCTCTCTCTCTCTCTCTCTCTCTCTCTCTCTCTCTCTCTCTCTCTCTCTCTCTCTCTCTCTCTCTCTGTCTCTCTCTTTCTCTCTGAACTCCTCCTCTCCATGGGGACATGTGCAGGGGGCTGGGCCAGGAGATGAAGACTTTTAGAGGAACATCTTGCTGCCAGGAACCCCTCTGAGGTGGAGGGATCTGGACTTTCAGGCCCAGCTGCTGCTGGAGACCTTTGCATTTTGTTGAGCCTGTGATGGGCAGAGGGGAGCAAAAATTACCAGGAAGGGGCAGGGTGCTCTGTCTGCACTGACCAGTGGTCCGTGGAGGGCAGGGATAGGCACCGGCTGTCAGGTACTGAGGGACTTTGAACCCACTTGGTAGCTTTGTGGGGCAGACTGAAGTTAGAAATTAAATATGAGAAGACAGGGAGCCCAGTGAGATTTCTCTAGAAGGATGGGGTCTGAGTTATGAGAGACCCCTGGAACACAGGGCTGGCTGACTCCAGGATTTTGCTAGGGAGCTGGAGGCATGCCCATCCTCCAGGCTTCAATAGCAAACTCCCTATGAGTATCAGATCTGCAGTTCTGAGCCCTGTGCTGAATGGCTGAGCATTAAGAGGAGGTGGTGGCTTCGAGGTAACAGCCAGTCGCCTGCACCTTCCCATCTAGGACATCCTTAGCTCATGTCTGCATGGCCACTGGAGCTTGTACCCAGAGTCCCAGGGACACTTGGCACATCTTAGATCTGGATGCTGCTTGCATTAAGGTGCCTGGCGGCTTGGGGAGAAGTTACTGCAGCTATGGTATACAAATTACACCTCAATTAAAGCAGAGAGAGAGAGAGAGAGAGAGAGAGAGAGAGAGAGAGAGAGAGAGAGAGAGAGAGCTTCCCAAGTTCCCAGGAAAAATACAGACCAAGTTGGAACACAGGGCTAACTCCATTCACTCCCTGACCTCTCTGCCACTTGGGGCCACTGCCCTGAAGTTTAGGTGCTTGGAAGTGGTCCAACCATTAAGATCTAGCTAGCATGGGTCCCAAAGGACCCTTGTCTGGTCTTGGCACACAACACAAGACACCTGAGCATGTCCCAGCAAAACCCAGGCAGTTTTATCTTCCTGGAACCAGCACCTTCTACCTGGCTCTCAGACCTCTTTGGCTGCAGCCTAGCTGGGCCTTGAAACCCCAGTCCCAGATGTTTCTGTCTCCTGCCAGTGTCAAGCCTCTGGAAGGCATCTCTGTGTTGGAAGCCCCTAATCCTCCCCAGCCTCCTCGTGGGGGGGGGGAGACAAACTCAGAAGCAAGATGCCTTCGGGGTGGATTTACCAGGGCTCTTAATTAAGCCCTTGCCAATTTGGGTCCTGCAGCCTTGTCTCTTCACTGAATACCATATTAATGTCAATTTGATGTCCAAAGGCTTCAGGCTCCCAGCTGGGAATCTCCCGCCGTTTTTCAACTGTTAGAATTTCTTTTTCTTTCTCCATCAGTCACCAGGGGTAATCCTTTTCCAAAAGGGAAGGCATCAGCTTCCCCTTGATGTGCCCCCAACACACACACACACACACACACACACACACACACACACACACACACACACAAAACCTTCTTGCAGTTCTGTTCTTTGAATCTGGCAAAGTGATTGCTGCCTGCGTGCCTTACTTTGTGTCCAGCTCCGGAAACTGAATGTCGGGGGGTGGGGGCGTTGGTGAGCCATGATGAGGTTCCTTGATTCTCAAGGCAAGGAGCAGAGGCTGGAAGGGCAGTGGTCAGAGAGGCGAGTTAGACGTCAGAGGACACTCTGTGGAACCGTCTAGAACCTTGCTCAATGTGTCTTGCATCCTGGCCAGGACATCAGCCTGAGGCTTCACACACAGGACTTGTTACGACTGGCCTTAAGCTGTAACAGAGGCCACACAGAGGGAAGAGCCTTTGAAGGCCATGTCAGGCGTGGGACCTCCTCTTATCAGGCGTCAGCGTGTGCACACCCTCTGCAGGCTGCAGTGGCGTAGATGCTGCCTCCGTAGTGGATTTGGAGCCAGGCCCTTTGGCCAGTGTAGACAGAGCCTGTAGTGTCGCTTTTTACAGAGGCCTCTGGAAGGGCGGGGCATCATCCCTCATGTGACTTGATTTCTTCTCTTCTTCCTCCCAAGGGCAGATCAAGCCACCTGATGTTGCCCCCCTTGGGGACAGCTCCCTCTGGCCCCAGGTGTCTACCAGTGCAGAAGGTATGGGGGGCAGGGCCTATGCTAGGCCCGAGACCCTGGAAGCTCCATCTTAGACCGTTGGGCCCCTCCCTCTGTAGTAGGGTAGCAATCTTATATGCTGGGCCTTGGGGAGGAGGGGACTCCAAGAACTGAAAGAAGTGGGCGAGAGAACTCAAGGGTCAAGCGATGAGGTAAAAGGCCTGGTAGATCCCCAACCAGCTCCGCACCTATTGGTAGCCAGAAAGTGATATCGCTAAACCTTCTCCAGGGGCTCCATTACAGGAAACCCTCATTACAAGAAACCCTCATTACAGGAGACCCTCCTCTCCCTCCCCACAAAGTCACAGGGTCACAGGATACCTGTGCAGCTGATAGGGCTCAGAATAGGGGTGACAATGAATAAAGGCGGCAGGAGAGGCCTGAGGCAAAGACTTAGCCCAGCAATGAACAGTGCCAGTTAAGTGAGGGTGTGGGCAATGTAGAAGCCCCCAGGACCAGGTCAAGGGCACTATTCTCCCACTGTAGGGGAACCGTCAGGATGTGCAGGGGCTACCTTGATTCTTAGAAGGGAGGCTGTCCTCATCGGTCCCTAGATGACCTGCTGTCAGCCCTGTTGTCCTTGCCCTACCCCATCAAACTCCTCAAGTTCCCCTCCAGCCCCGGAGATGAATGAGCCAGGCTTGGAGCTCCCCCTGCTGGCGTGTTATTGCGCAACTAGGAGGGCTGGACCCTTAGCTTCTAGCATCCTAGAGGTCCCACAATCCTCTCAGTCATCTCCTGCTCTGGCCTCACTGAAGAGACAGAAAGGCCTAAGAGGAAGCACAGAGGCTGATTTCTCTGTGCTAGGAGCATGCTCACCTTAAGAATGGGGCACTGGTGTGTTCCAGGTAGGGAAAGGCTGCCTGCATTCTTGGCCTAATGACACTTTAAGTCTCATCCAAGGACCGCAAAGGACCTGCCCTAGCTGGAAGAGAAAGATGTCCTCAGACGGAAAGAAGATGCAGTCTTAGAACTATTTAGGAATATTTATTTTATGTGTATGAGTGTTTTGCTTACATGTATGTGTGGGACTACATGCATGTCTGGTGTCCAAGGAGGTCAGAAGATGGGGGTGCATTTCCCGGAACTCTGGAACTGGAGTTACAGTTATGAGCTGCCACATGGGTGTTGGGAACTGAAACCATGTACTCTACAAGAGCAACAAGTGCTCTTAACCACTGAGCCATCTCTCCAGCCCCAAGATGCAGTATTTAATGCCAGGTTTAGACTCAGCATTTGATGACCAGGGAAGTTCAGGGGACAGAGGAAGAGAGCAGAAGGGCAGTGACATTTGCTTTCAATCATCCAAACATCTCTCAGTGTTAGCAAATGCCTCAGCACTAGGTTGGGGATTAGGAGAGGGAGAAGGCTCTTGGGGATTGGTCCAGCCGGATAGGTGTCCTCGGTGGCCCAGAGACAGTGGGTGTTCACTCATTGCTACAAGGTGCTTTAACCTGAGACTCTGAAGAGGATCTCACCCCACACTCAAGGGCCATGTGGTCTCTCACTGCCTCAAATGTAAATAGGTGATAGAGTTGCCTGGTGCCAGCCCAAAGCACTCAGAAGCCTTGGTCTAGCTTCTCCCTGAGTAGAGATGGCCTGCCTGCTGGATGGACCATGGCTGGTGTAAGCACTTGTTTCTCGTCTCTCTAAGCTGTGGCTGCCTCTGCTGCTGCCCCCTCCCAAGCCAAGGGCACCACACTTTTCCAGCTCAAGCCCAGATCTCCTCAAGTGATACCCATTGAAGAATTTCAAGGTAAGATGACCTGGGCCAGGCCTCCCACCTCTTCCCCAGATCACTGGAGAAAAACAAGGCAGGACAGAGCTAGTCAGTGCCAACTCGGAGAACCCTCCCAGAATAGCTGGGTCAAGGTTAAGCATCGTCTCTCAGCCCCAAGGGAGCAGAAAGCAGAGATGAGTCAGAAGGCAGCTCCGACACAGTGGGCAGGCACATGGCAGGAGAAGCAGCTGCCACAAATAGCCTGTCCTGGCTCCCCTGGGAGGTGTGGCCCAGGGGTTTGCTTGGTTGGAGTGGAATCTGGGACAAACTGGGTCACTGGCAATGCTCTTTGGGGCATTTGGAGGATTCTTCACCTCCTCGGTGTCTCTGGAGGGCTCAGGTGAAGGGATGGGTCAGGCAGACCTATGGGTGAGTCCATCAGTTCACCCAGCTGTTTCTCAAGGGCGTTTCTCCAGGGTCTCCTGTGCCTTTGACTATATGGAGACTAGATCAGCACCAACCTCTGCTCATCACAAGAGGGAGGAGCTGCCAGGTGGTGGTGCACTCCTTTAATCCCAGGGAGGCTCTAGATCTCTGAGTTCTAGGCTAGCCTGATCTACATAGTTCCAGGACAGCCAGGGCTACACAGAGAAACCCTGTCTTGGGGGTCGGGGGGAGAACTGTGTGTGGCAGGCTGGAGGTGTGGCTTGGTTGGTAGAGTGCTTGCCTGGAACACAGGAATAAACCCTGGGCTGGAACCACAGCACAGCACTAACTGGGTGTGGAGTTATGTATACCAGTAACCCCAGGAGGTGTAGGTAGGAAGGTCAGAAGTTCAAGGTCATCCATAGCTACAGACGGAGTCCAAACTCAGCCTGAGCTACCTGAGACCCTGTCTCAAAACAACAAAACCAAACACACTTGTGGGAGGGATTGTAAAAGGTCCCACGATGACTTAGAGGTAACTTTCCTTGGTTTGAACTGAGCAATGAGATCCAAAAACCTGGCTGGGACCAGAAAAGGCCAGATGATGTCCAGAGTCTACAGTGCCCATCAAGCTTGTAGGGAATTCTAGCTAGTAAGAAGAGGTCCCCCAGGGGCTTGCAGGGACAGAGACAGCAGCCAATTTCTCTCTTCCAAAGCAGCATGGGAAGGTTCTGTCCCATTCCATCATGCCCACATTTGTGTATGACTCAATTCATCCACAGGCCCTTGAGGGGTCCAGAGCAAACCTGAAACCCTCTGCAAATGCAGCCTGCAGCACAACCCCACCCACCCACCTTGCATGAGTCAACTGCTGATCAGCCCCAGCACATGGGCATCCTCCAGACATCACTTAGCTCTCACACCAGTCAAGTGTTAGCATGCCCTGCCCTCCCTGACTCCCTGCCCATAGGCCTCCTGGGGGACTCGAAGCTAGGAGAGCTAGCCTTACCACATCCTGACCTGGAACCACTTCCCAATCCTTCTCCCAAATATGCCTCCTCCCACCTTCCCTGTATATTCTTGGGTATGTCCTTCTCTGTTTGCCTCAGTTTCCCCCAAATGCTCACTGACCACTGGTGTTTCTCCCACTTGGCTGGCCCAGACTGTGAGTGCTATGGCCACTCCAACCGATGCAGCTACATTGACTTCCTGAACGTGGTGACCTGTGTCAGCTGCAAACACAACACTCGAGGCCAGCACTGTCAGCACTGCCGCCTCGGATACTACCGAAACGGGTCTGCCGAGCTGGACGACGAGAATGTCTGCATTGGTAAGCACCGGTGGCGGGGGCAGGAATCACCAGGGGAGGTGCAGACTCTCCCTCTCGAGGGTGTGTCCCTCAAGAAGAGGGTGAGGTCCTCTTCATCTGGGCATCTCGGAGGGGACAGAAGCCCCTTTGATCTGCTGCTAGTGACTGTAGGCACTGGAAACAAACACGGGCACTAGGTAGAGCTGAAGGCTTACTGTGCACATTGGGCCTGTCCCTTGTCCTCTCTGGGCTCCTCTGAAAGCTGGATGGTGGACTAGGCGAGGGTTTCCATCTCTCCTCTGTTGTTGAAACTGGTCTCAGATTTTCTGAGCCTTATGAAGCTGCGCCTGCCGTGGCGGGCGCTCGCTCACTCTCTAGTTTTCTGTCACAGCACTGGCTTGTATGTAGAGAAGTTCCATGGTACTCCTTGGGCCTGGACAGGGGACAGACCCTAAAAGCCAAATCCATAGCTCCCAACCGACACCCAGTAACATGAAAGGGCAGTCAGGACTGATTATCTGTTTCCAGCAGGGGCCAGGTCTCAGACTTGTGAGCTGCCAGATCCTAGCCAGCAGGACCACAGCCCATCCCCCACCCCACCCCCACCCCCCACCAGCACCACCTGGCCAGCTCAGTTGCAAAGCTAGAGCTGTCACTCTGGATCATGGCTGAGGCCTTCAGATAATTCCATAAACTCTAAAGTGATCAAACAGAATTGTGTTGCCAGTGTCACACAGGGCCAGCTGCAGGGACAGGGCACGGCCTCTGGATCTGATTAGAGGTGCCCCTACTTCTTCTCTGTCTGTGCCTCCATCTCAAGCCAAGCACTGGACTTCAAGGACTGGGGGGCCAGGGACACACACATCCTACACACACACTCTCTCTCTCCCTCTCCCTCTCCCTCTCTGTGTGTGTGTGTGTGTGTGTGTGTCTCCTCTCTATCCCCCTCCCCTCAAACCAACCAGAGCAAGCAGGGAGGAGAGGTTAGCTGCTGGTTGGCTGCTGTTCCTCTAGCCTTGGGAGAGAGGGTAACATACACTAGACAGCCTCCTGGACAGACACCTGTCACCTGTCACACTCTTAGTTTGTGATTGGAAACAATCAGCTCCCTTCAGCTGTCCGGAGAGGGGGATGGAACTGGCCCAGGCCTCACAGTGGGATGTTGGATGCCAGGAGAAAGACTATACAGCCTTCTCTGGCCATGTGGATGGCCCGGCAGTCCCCACTGCAGCCCAGCCACGAGGTCTCTTGTGGGAAGCATCGCCGGGGAGCGCAGAGACCGAGCTAAAAGAGATATTAACAAGAGATATAAAGGTTGGGTTTGGGGCAGGACCTATTTGAAGGTGCACACAGGCCCTTCTGACTGCACGTGCCCCATGCGCTTGTGTGCCCCCGCCCCCCAGAATGTAACTGTAACCAGATCGGCTCTGTGCACGACCGGTGCAACGAGACAGGCTTCTGCGAGTGCCGGGAGGGAGCGATGGGACCCAAGTGCGATGATTGCCTTCCCACGCACTACTGGCGCCAGGGATGCTACCGTGAGTAGACCAGCCCCTGATGGTGGAGCCACCAGGCTGGGGGAAGTGGTCCAGGATGGTGGGAGGGGCCTACGTGGGTCTGCTGCGGGCTGGGATGGGCTTCTAGCAAGTGGCTACAGCAAGGGCCTGAAGCAACCAGGGGGGAGTTCAAAGTGCGTAGGTGGGGCTTAAGTGGGTATTGTCTGGTCTTCAGTGGGCGGAGTCCGTGGCAAGTGGGAGCCAGCAAGGAGGGGAGCTGAGGGTTGAAGGGGAGTTAGCTGGCTGGAGTTGGCTGAGGGCGCTGCAGTTTGCACTAAAGAAATGTAGGCTTGGAGAGACCGAAGAGACTTAGTCTGAGAGAGCGCTCCAGGTACCCGCAGCAGAGTATGCAAATCTCTGAAGGCCGACAGCAGGTACGGACTACTGCTGGGGAGGAACTGGAGACAAAGAGAGTAAGGGTCACAGGCGGGAGTCGGGCAGGAGCCCGGGCCCACCGAGCAGCAATATTTGTCATGGTGAGGTGTGCGTCCTACGCATCGCGAGTCCCACCCAGGAAGCTCAGTTCCTCCCTCCAGCTGCCTCAACTGTCCCCTCCTGCCCGCAGCCAACGTGTGTGACGACGACCAGCTACTCTGCCTGAACGGCGGCACCTGCGTGCAGAACCAGCGCTGTACCTGCCCGCGCGGCTACACTGGCGTGCGCTGCGAGCAGCCCCGCTGCGACCTCGCTGAAGACGGCGGCCCGGACTGTGACCACGCGCCAGACACCGCCCCGCGCCCCGACACCCTGCTCGGATGCCTGCTGCTGCTCGGGCTGGCCGCCCGCCTGGGTTGTTGAGTCCGCTCTAGGGGTCCGGGTGTCCCGGCCCGGCGGCGACACGGGTGCGGCTGAGCTGCTCCCAGGTGCTACTCGCAGAGTCCTCCCGTCCTCCCTGCTCCACCCGCGCTCACCGGCCTGCCCGGCACTGTCCTCGCCGCCCACAGGGGGCGCTGTGGAGCCCTAGCCCGGCAGACTGCAATTATCAGTTTTTTTCTTTTTTATGACCCAATGTCACAATCATTTTTCTGTTTTCCTCTTCCTCTTTTCCTTCTCCTTCTTTTCCCTCTTCCTGTCCTCCCCCCCCCACCTCTCCACTTCCTTCCCCCTCCTCCTTTCTTCTAGTTCTTATTCCTCCTCCACCTCCTCCTCTTCCTTTCTTTTGCTGACTGTGAGACAGGGACTGGGGAGAAATGCTGCTTATCCCAACCCGCTGGTCCTGTCACCCATACACAGAGAACTCTCGCGCACACCCCAGCGCCTGTTCCTAGCTGGCATCACCAACCAGGGAACCCAGAACTCCAGTTGCCTACAACTCTAGTCGCTGACTTGACTCTCTTTTTTGTATCTTTCTTTTTTCTCTCTCTCTCTCTCTCTTTTTTTTTTTTTTTTTTTTTTTTTTGCACTCACCAGATCCCAGGCCCCCAAGGAGGCCTGGTGATAGAGGAACTCACAGTCTGAGAGAGGGGTAGGACAAAGGGCAGGGATGGGCGGAAACTTTGTTTTCTAGAGAACTATTTTGTTTGTATCCGCTGTCCCTTGTGAGGGGGGACTCGGGTGGGAGCTGGTCACCGAGGGTGGCTGATGGTGTACAAGCCCACACACAGTAAAGGGAGTTCACAGCTGCCTCTGTCCTCTTGCTTTCTGTGTTATTAGACACTTGGAAGGTTTGGATGGAGAGGAACCCACCAAAAAATCTTTTAAGAAACAATTCCTTCTTGGGGCCACTGTCTCCCAATCTGTCCTCTCCTGGTATTCCTCCCCCTCCCCGTTTCATCTTCAGCCAAGCTGCTGACCACTGCCTGGTAGGTACTTTTCCAAACAGAGGTGCCCCCCTTTCCTATAGCTCCCCCCAAATTCAGAGCATCTGCTAATGGAAGCCTCAGGAAGGTGACTCAGGGAGAATTCTCTCGGAGACTGAACCCCATGCTGACTTGTAACTCACTTCTGTGGCTGCTTGGGATAAATGTGTTGTCTCAGCCTTGTTGGCTCCAGAGCCTCAGGTCCAGTGTGAGATTACATAAAACTCCCAGCTGCTGCCTTCGGAGTCCCAAAGTGGGCACTTCCCCTGCTTGCTTGCTTGCTTAGGTGCTTGGTATGTGGGCAACCAACAGGTCACTGCAGCTGGCCCACCTGGGAGGTTTCCCCTCCTCTGCTTGCCCTAGAGGTCAGGTTCCTCCAAGAACCCCTTAGTTTCTTGTCCTGGTTCCTAATTGCCCCCACTGCTCCCACCAGTGCCCAATTCCTTGTTATCTGCCAGATGTTCTTTCTAGGCTGTCTCTAGCCTTTGCTCATCTGAAGCAAAGCTAAGATAGTGCTTGGCTTTGGGATTTACAAGAGATAAAGAATGGAATGTTGGCTAACTGAGGCCGAATGCTGCCCCCTACTGGTTACTCTTTGTTCTGATTCCCCTGCACCAGCAGGAGTCAGATCCAAGCTCTAAGGGGGACTTCTGTCAGGGCCCTGGTTCTATCTACAGAAGCCCAACATGCCCAGGTAAAACATCTCTGGGGCTCCTTGTACTTGAGAATGGCCATGTGACACAGCTCTGTCAAATGAGATATAAGCAAAAGTGACAGACAGGACTTCCACAAAGTCCCTGAAAGTCCTGCCGCCAGCCCTGGCCACAGTGTGCCTGCCCCAGCCCCTCTCTTGCCTCTCCCTGGTGTTCAGTCTGCAGGGTGGAGGCAGGAGTCATCTGGCTGAGCATGAGTGCAACCTCAGGATGGGGGGCGAAGCAGATGTTGCCTGTGTGAAGACCCAGCCAGGCTGCGCCCCAAGCTTCTGAAAGTGGGGGAAAGGATAAACATCCACAGGAGGCAAGCTGTGGCAATTGAGGTTTCTGTTTCAGGCAGAATTGCCCGTTCCTAAGTGCCTGGCCTTCCTGGCTTGACATCTAGACAGCTAAAGTCCACTGAGTCCAGAGAAAAAAACAAAACACCCAGTTCATCACACAAATCAGCACCCAAGACTGGGACATCACCGCTCCCTAGAGCAGGGCTAGCCTCCACCTTCCCTAGGGGAGCAGAGGGTGAGCTGATGCAATCCCACCTTCCTGCGAGAGGACTGGAATGCTGGAATTGGAAGGAGGACCCAGCAGCTGTTAGAACCACGATGATCTAGGTCCCCGCCCTGGAAGCAGAGTGAGACAGACACATGCACAGAGGCCTCTGGAAAACGCTGGTCTGTGAAGGGTATTGGGACAGGGGTTGGGAAGGGCCAGCCTTGGCCTGACCCATGCATGGGTTGGGTAGGGCTTTGAAACATAAATGCTATCATGGCAGAGCTCTTGTCTTGAGCAAGGGTATTGCAGCACAGGAGGCCACTGGCTCTGTTAAGGGTCCATGGTGACTGTGGAGCAGAGCCTCCCACGAAGAGGTTGTGAGCTCAACACCAATAGTTACTACACACACATACCCCTTTCTTTGTTTTTGTCTCCTGTGTAGCTTTGGAGTTTGTCCTGGAACCCACTCTGTAGACCAGGCTGACCTCAAACCCAGAGATCCACCTACCCTTGCCTCGTGAGTGCTGTAGTCAAAGGTGTATGCCACCACTGTCCAGCAACACGTACCCCTTCCTTTATATCACCTGGGAGTGTCCCAGGACACTGGAGAGGCCTAAGACAAGAGAGGGGGACCTACTCTGTCCTTCCTGGCCTCTCAGCTCGCCTTGCTGTGTCAGCATCCCTGGAACCAGCCAGTCTTCTCTGGAGCTGGTGCAGTGCATTGTAAATCAGAATGGCAGCCCCAATCCCTAAGGACTGCTCAGGCCCTGACCTCAGCTGGAGGGTGGAGGGAACATTGCCAGTAGCCATTTGGAAAACTGACATCTTCCAGATCATGGAATGAAGGAGAAAACAAGGTCACCCAGGCCGGAAGTCACAGTCCAGCTTTGGATATCTGGTTCCCAAGGCACAGACAGGGGAGGGAGCACCCTTGGCCCAGCATAGCAGCGCCCACCTGAGGCACCATGCAGAGTTAGGATGTTAGCCCTGCTCTTAATCCCACACTTACCCCGGGACCAGGTTTTCATCTTGGCTCTGATGACTCTGCAGCTTTTGGTGGCAGAGGTGGGGAGCCTTAAGCATCAAGGCTCTGGTGATGGAGCCAGCAGCACCACAGTCCTAAGCAGTGACATCTGCAGGTACCTCAGCAGAGGCAGAATTGCCCTAAGTTTAAGAACCATTGTGTTAGGAACGATGGTTCATTTTACAGAGGGGCAAGTAGAGGCTAAGAGGAAGATCATGATTGCTAAGGAACCCTGCCTGCCTCTGCAGCTCTCTGTCTTCACTTCTCTTTGCCCACCTCCCTCTTCTATCCTGACTGGGGGTCCCTGGGGAGCCTGGCTTCATCCCCTTGACTGCCAAGAGCCAGGGGAATCCACCCTGTACACAAAGGCTGCCCTGGCCCTGGCCCTGGCCCTGCCCCCTGAGTAAACAGGACTGCTGTGTTGGCAATCTTGCCTCCAACCATGCTTCACAGTTACGAGGCATTTACGGGAGCCTGGGGATCAGCTCACATCTCTTGCAGGTCTGGAAGGAATTGGGGTGAATCCGCTGGCCTCCCCAGGGTAAGCCCATCCTAGATCATCTTAGGTGGGAATTGTTAAAGGGATGGGCCCTGGTAAGTGTTACTGGTTTTTCTTTTAGAAAGCACACACTGCAATTTATAGGCAAGTTAGGAAATATGAAAAAGCTAACAAAATATATGTATATTTTGAGACAAAGTCTTGCTATGCAGCCCAGGCTGGCAGAGGACTCCTGATCCCCTTTTGTGACAGGACCACGAGCATGTTAAGTTAAAATTACCCACAAGTCTCCATCCAGCTAATAGCTGTCAATGTTTTTGATAGCTATCTCCAGCATTTTCTATAACAAGTACCCCACAAGAATTACTCGCCTGTCCTTCCAGTTCCATAGGATGCTGGGATTACAAAGTCACTCGGCTTTTGCGTGTGTGCTCTGGGGATCCACATTCAGGCCACACTGCAGCAACTGCTTTCTCCACTCTTTAGATATCTCATTGAACCTGGAGCTCACCAATCAGCCAGCCAGGCTGTCCAGCCAGCTCCAGGGATCCACCCCTCTCTGCCTTCCAAGTGCTTCATTTACAGGTGAGCACCACGGTGCCCCGCCTCGTACATGGGTGCTGGGGATCCAAGCTCTCGTCCAGGCCTTGGCAAGCACTAACTGGGCCATCTTCCCAGCCCTCTGAAGGTAAAAAGGCCAGCACAACCTTTCATCTCTTCCCTCTCAGCCTCAGCTGGTGGCAGAGGGACTCAGCTCCCCACAGGGAGTCGCTGCATGCTTCTCTGTGAGGACAGGGTCTGGCAGGTGCTCCAGCCTCACCCACCCCTCATGGCAATAGAGGACTTTCTGTCCTAGAAGGGCAGGCCTGGGACAGGAGCACGTGGGGTGCCAGCTGGTTTCCAACCTTAGCTGAACAAGCAGGTGGCCCTTGGGACACAGCCAGGAGCTGAGACGGGCACTTTCCATAGCTGATCGGTGCCTACTTGTCCAGCCAAAAATACGGTGGCTACAAAGGCAGAGGAGATGGCAGCCCAGGCCAAGGGCCTGGAGCTTTCACCTGGATTTGAAGCTGGCCTCGACAGCTACACTTGGTGTGACTTTGACTCAGTCACTCTGTGTCTTGTCTTCTCATCGCTGAAAAGGGACAGTTAACAATAGTCCTGGTCTCCCAGGGCTATCTGAGTCACACTGGTAGGATGGAGAACATGCCTGCATAAAGCCAGCCACCTGTCGTGTCTACTGTCATGGACTGGTCCCCTGCACACCTGTCATGTGACACAGCCTCACCTCTGCTCTCTTTCTCCCTCCCTTTCTCTTTTCTCTCATATACCAGTGCGCCAGGCTCCAGGCACAATGCACAGCATCCTTCAGGGCTGTTACGGCCCAGCCCTACTTGCCCTATTCCTTCCTATATGTAGGCAGCTGTTGAGCCTTCATGCTACCCAGGAACAGAAAGACACTGCAGGTCTCTGTGCCCAAGAGATCCCCCTGCTCCGGGGCTGCCCTGGTATGTAGCAGCTCAGCTAGAGCCCTCAGGGCAGGAACCCCTCTGCTTACTTCTTCATGACTGGCCTGGGACTCAGAGCAAGTCTCCTTCCCCTGTCTTCAGCGCAGAGATTACAGACTTGCTCCTTCTGGTTGTTCTCCCACACATGTTGTATAGATGGACTTGGAACTAGGCAGGGAAATTAGCAGGGCTGGAGAGAGAGGCATGAATGGGCAGTGAGTATCCAGGAAATGGACATCTAAGGATAAACTCCCAGTGACCTTTCTGGAAGGCACAGGTAGTCACGTGGCTGTCCTGGGTTCCCAAGTCCAGGGAAGACCTCTGGCTGCCTGCATGGTCTACCAACCTTTGCTGACCACACACAGGGCCCAGGAGAAAGATAGAGAAGATACGAGCCGCCGCCACCGCTCCCACCCCTGGAAGAGGAGTATATACTTTCAGCAGAAGCCTAGCCCTGCAGGTCTTGGGAGCAGTGCAGGAAGAGAGAGTATTCTTCACTGCAGCACCTGGCATCGCAAGGCTATGGGCAAAGAGAATCCCTGCTGACAGTGGAATTGATGAAACTGTATCATCTAGACCAAGGGTGCTGCAACCTTCTGACTCCTTACTCGAGAAATGTTTACATGGCTACTCACATACAGGGCTGGTGAGACAGCTAAGTAGATTGCCAAGCCTACCAACCGGAGTTTGATCCCTGGAACCCACATGGTGAAAACCACAGTTGCCTTTCAGCTACACACGGCGTACAATGTACACATACACACACAAATGGAGTAAATTTAAGGAGGGATTGGATAAACTGGTGTGTGCTCTTTATTGTCATTATAAAGGGCTAGAGAGAGCTCAGCAGTCAGGAGTACTCACTGCTCTTGTAGAGGACCCGAATCAGGTTCTCTGCACCCATGTCAGTCCAGCAGTTCACAGGATCTCCAGCTCCAGCACATCTGATGCCTCTGAATCCCACACTCACTTGCACAGGCACACATATACACATAATTTAAATTCTTAAAAATCTTAAAAGTAAAGGCAATTGACTTTTACTGTTAAAAAAAGGGGGGCGGGGATGGTTAGCCAGGTCTCACAGGGATGCCTTTAATCCCAGCACCAAGAGGCAGAAGCAGGTAGATCTCTGAGTTCAGCATGGTCTACAGAATAAAAGTTCTAGGCCATATAGGGCTATATAGTGAGACCCTGTCTCAAAACGGGGGAGGGAGGTCTCTGGGGAGGTGATGGAGTCCTTGTCTAGTATATGAGGGCCCTGGGCTCACCCAGCACTGGGGTAATGGGGGAAAATGTAAAGAGTAATAAAATCACTATCTAGAATAGGAAGCACAAGAGAGCTTAGGAAGTGGTAGAAACCAGTCTCCATGGTTTTATACATACGTTTAAGCCCAGTGACCAAAGCCGAGAGCAAACCCACAAGAAAATCAAATGTTTTGCACACAATGATGTGGGCTCCTTGCAGGGAGAAACAGTTGGATTATCTCACTCTCCTCCCTTGGCACTGCTGGAACCTAGACTCTTTGGAATGTCTCAACTGAACAGAAACAACAAATAACCTATTTACTTTTCTTGGGGAAGGGCACATCCAAGGAACTCAGATGTTGTACTGACCCCCTATGGGATCCTTATTCCTGCTGACTCCATAGGAGCTAGACTCCAGTGTTGGCTGTGCCATGAAAACACCCAAAAACTGAAACTTCAAGAGCTGTGCCCCAAATCCATTTGATTAGGGATTCTGGGGTGAGCCAAAAGCAAGCACCTTTTTAAAAGGTCCCTTGCTGACTCCCCGGCTGAAGGCTCCCACTGCAACCACTCTATCAGCAGCAGAAAAAGGCAGCTGTGTTCCTGGCCACCATGGCTTCATTTGCTATTGGAGATCACCACTGACATCCCTCAATGTGGTGAGTGCCTTCTGCACAGCAAAAGGTCCCTTATGGGCAGAAACTGCCTCTGTGGTGCTCACAACACAGTAAATTTTCTTTAAGTTCAAGCTAAATCTTACATTGCTCCCTGAATTATTTATTCCTCAATGAATAGTGAAACCCTGGAGGTGGTGGACTGCATGCAACTGTGGATTGGTCCAGAGAGGGATGCCTGGTCACTTCAATCACTGGCACAGTTACTGTGCTAAGGAATTGCACAGATGAAGTGACCATGGCCCAGCACTCGTCTCATCGGGCAAACTTATGACCCTCTCTTCATCCCTGTGAACTGAATGCACCCTGAGTACAGGAAGATGTGGAGAACAGAACAAGTGCCTTTTAAGTGACACCATTCTATAAGCCACTGTGAGTGTTCTGAGTATCTGTAATCACTGGTAATTACCTGACTTGGACACGGATACCCTGGTGCCTCCACTGGTATTTCTAGGAGTGCCTGCCCAGGTCACTGTTCATTTGCTATCTCACCTTCCTGGCCTCCACTCTTAACGGTTAACTTGCTGTAATTTGCAGGGTGTCCGTGTGGCAGTGGGGAGGCTCACCTTACCTAAAAGATTCCAAAGGGACCTGGGGATGAAGACAGTGGGACTAGGCAGGGCTGGCAATTACACATGAAGCTGAAGACTAAAGGGTCCCCTGGCAGCACCTTCTGCTTTAACTTAGCAACATATAATACTTCTAACCCATGCCAGTTTTGTTTGTTTTTAATTCTGTCATTTTCTCTTAAATTTTAGGTATTAACAAAGATAACAGTTATGAACCCAGAGCATACAAAACACAAAGCTACAGAAAGATTCCCAATGTGCACAAGTAATTTTAGAAAATAGTTTAGTACACTCTTGTTATAAAACTCATTTACAGGAGGTTATTCACATGTTCTTGTTAAAATTTGCTCCTGATAATTCATGAAAACATAACTAAACAAACTGTGGTAAATCAGAGAGAAGCAAAATGAGACAGGTATAATACATTTGCCTTGAAATAACATTTTGAAAGTAATCAGGGCATGTTCTTTTAACCACAGGAAGGACAAAGTGAACTTTTCATCTTGTCAGGATTAACCACTCATGACAGTCCCTTCAGGAAAAGGCCACCTGACACAGCAAATGCTTTCTGCAAACAACTTCACTAACGAATAAAGAAGGTTTCCAAATCTAATGCCACACACCTACAACCAGCTGAGAGAATGTTCTAAGGCAAGGCTTGGTTGCTGGAAAGGAGGATACAAGGACTCAAGGTTCTGTCTAGAGTCTAATCCCAGCAGCTCTTTATACTCACAAAATAAACAGGTCAAGACCCTCCTAATTTTAACATACTCTGATGTGGTTAGCAGTGAGCCCACAGATGAATACACGCCTGGTAGCAATCGACTACAATGCTTTGAAAAAAACTATTTTTAAAAACTTGTTTCTTAATCTATGTGGTGATGTGAGCAGAAGGGAAATGCCCCCTCAGAAGCACACTTTTGACCTTCTTCCCCCTCAGAAGCACACTTTTGGCCTTCTTCCCCCTCAGAAGCACACTTTTGGCCTTCTTTAGTAGTCACGTTCACAAATCCCTGCTAAACTGAACATATTCCAAAGACAACAGGAAAGAAAATTTCAAGTGGCAGTGAGGTTTCCTGCCAATGTCACATGAAGAAGGTTTATTTAGCCCTTGCCCTAGCCAGAGTGGATTTACTTCCCACCTAGCCAGGTACAGGTACAGCCGGGAGGCTGAAGCGCTCTGAGAGGCACCCACTCCCCTAGCTTTGTAAGTGTCCAGCAGACATTAGGGTACATGTCTGGGCACCAGCTGAAAAGACAGCTCAGGAAACTCAGTTGAAACTTGGCAAAATGCACACCATTTTTTTTCACAGCTCTTAACAAATAAAACCTGCTTCAGCAGAATTTCTAACACAAACCCTTTTGTTTAAGAACAGATGACAAAGAAAATTCCAAACATTTTCAGGGATGTCTTCTTGCCCCAAAGCAGCTAATAGGCAGTATGTACAGAAGTCACTAGAAACTCCACATTCACGGTTTGGAAACCTGACTGGTTAGATAGTCCTCCCTTGTCTTGACTCCAGTCCCCTCATGCTTTCCTCTAACAGGTACACCAGGTCTGACAGAAACCAGGTGCCCCTAGTGACCCAACACAACAATTCCCATCTATTGGATGGTCCTGAAGCCCAGATGACAAGTTCTCTTTCTCACCGAGTATCTTTCCTGTCTGAGATACACTATTTGCTCTGCCCTGTGTAGCTCCCATGGAATCCCTCAGAAAGCATCTACTCTTTATTTTCCTGACAACCCTAAAAGCTTCACAAGCAACCTGAAGGGACTCTTGCAGGCCAGGCCAGTACAAATCCTCCATTTGGTAACCATGTCTACAACTCACCAGTTATACCAATCTCACAAAACATTGGGACCATCTGAATGACAGTTCAAGAACCGTTCTTCTGTTGAGAAGGGAAAGAAATTTAGCAAGAAAATTAAGTCACACACTAATAAACGTAAATGAACTTGCCACAGTAATGCCCTGTACTAAGCTGCCTTGTCTCACAACAGCTCCCAACATGCTGCCATCTGAAGGCTCAGGAGTCCCCAACAGTTCTTTGGCCACTGGTGCCAACTAGGCTAACTCCCAGTACTGAGGCTGTTAAAAAAAAAAACTTGTCCACCATAAGATGGCTGAAAGCACCTGTTCTCCTCTCTCTCTTTAAATATAAAGTTTGTTCTGTTGGAAAATGACTAATATTTTAAGCAGAGGAAGGAAATGTGGTCTACATTTTAAAAGGATTTCGGATTTGCTATACAGACTGGCAGTTTAACCTTTACAATATTCACCTGACTTTTTCTACAGAACAAAAGATCCCAACACTTTGAATTTTGACCTCAAGGACATTACAGGTAAACAAATGCCCTCTCCAAGTGTATATAATTGGCAAAAAGTACTGAAGATGATCAACAGCCCAAGGGTTAAAAGGTATTCCATCCTTTAACACAGACTCTTCAAGGGAAACAAAAATAAAACCCAGCTGATCTGTATGGTGTCATTACCGACCTGTGGATGGCAGTCTCCTCACCAGGAGCTACTATAGAAACCGTCTCTTCTTAGCACTGCTGTCCTCGTGTTCCAGCCCCCTCCTATCCCAGTCAGCACTCCTCAGCATGTGATGAGTCACAGAGCCATGCCTCTCTTCTTCACTGGAGGCCCTAGATTCCCTTCTGTGACTGAACCCAGAGTCTCGGTCACTGTACTTCCTCTTACTTGTAGAAGGAGCAGCAGGGTGAGCAGGTGGTATCTCAGCCTGAAGAGGAGACCTGTTGCTGTTCATAGGGGCAACAATGGCAGTGGATGGTGGCACAATAAAACTGAGGTCCTGAAAATTAAGAGGAATGCCAGACTCTCCCAGGAGACGATGGACTATCCCTGGGAGCTGGGGGTTCAGAGGCTGTGCATCTTTCAGGAATGTTCCCTTAGCTTCAGCATCCAATCTCCTAAGCAGCCGTGGATCTCGAAGGCGGTCTTGAAGAGGTGGCCTTTCAGGTTCCTTCGAAGTGACAGTATCAGAGGTATCAGAGGGTGTGTGGCACAGAGAAGCAGCAAAAGATGTCTTGGCAAATCCACTGTCCAGTTTGTTGCTGGGGAGGCCACCCTGAGGTCTCGGCACCTCTGGGGCAGTGGCTGGAGGATGCGTCAGACTCCTCTGCAGCACAGGCTTCAGTTTCAGAATTTTCATTGCATCATGTCTATAGTTTGGGTCACAGGTCTTAATAATGGCCCCACGCTTCTGAGCATCCTGAATCAGTTCATACCAATGTTGGTTTTCCTGAAACAAAGACAGAGAAAAAAAAATTACACCCCACAGAAACATTCATTTTGCTGGGGAAACATGGGGGTCCAGCTTCTGTTTCTGAACAAACAAATGCAGTGTGACTTATGGGTTCCCAAGCACTCACCACTCACTCCGCAGACAAGAGTGATAGAGAAGCTCAAGCACCAGCGATGGAGGCGTAACTAAACGCCGGGGCTGGTGCAGCCGCAAGGAAACTCTACTCTCATCTCTGCCATCCTTGCAGCATAGTAAGAAGCTCTCCCGCAGAGTACACTAGCTGTTCCTAGCTCTGCTGTTTAAATTAATGTTAACTTAAATTGAAAACTACTGTACCTCTGATGCATCAACCCCACTTCAAGTGCACAATGGCTACATTGCTCCAGTAGCTACTGTAGTAAGCACATGACCTCACTACTGCTGCACGAGGCTCCTCTGCATCCTGCTGATCTAGACTACATCTTGCCCCTGGGCATGGCTGACATCCTAACAGTTAAGACTTGGTTTCAGAAGGCAAAATTCTGACCACATGACTGATCTTGAAGAAAACCCACAGCAGTTACTGGCTTCCCACAGGCCTCCCAAGCCACAAAGGACTAAAACATTTTAATCTGAGGGAAGATTCTAAAGATACTATCATTTAAGAAAAAAAATTATGTATGGGTATTTGCCTATATGCACTCATGTGCATGTACCACATGTGTGCATGGTGTCCATGGAGACCAGAAGAGGATGTTGGAGTCCCTAGAACTGAAGTTACAGGAGGTCGTGAGCAGACATTGAATGCTGAGAACCAAACTAGGGTCCTTTACAAGAGGAACCAGTGATCTTAATCCTTGAGCATTTCTCCAGCCCATGAATCTTTCTGTTATTTTTATTTATTTATTTATTTTTTGATTTTTCGAGACAGAGTTTCTCTGTGGCTTTGGAGGCTGTCCTGGAACTCACTCAGTAGACCAGGCTGGTCTCGAACTCACAGAGATCCGCCTGCTCTCTGCTTCCTATGTGCTAGGATTAAAGGCGTGTGCTGCCACCACCTGACTCAGATGACCACTTTTAAAAACAACAAAATGTTAATGGACTGGCAAGAGAGCTTTGACATTAAAGGTTAAAACTCAACAACCAAAAGTTCAAAAGCACCAAAACATTGTAACCCCTAGATGAGTTAGCTGAGCAGCAAACACATGCTACCTGGCTTTACACACACTCTTCCCTCTGAAAGACAGAGTGTTGTCCTTCGTCCTAAGAACCCCTACAGCAGAAAGACTCTGGGGTAGATCTCTCACCTAACAGAAAAAGGAGTTGCCACCCATGTACCCAAAGAAGGCAGCTGCCCATATTCCTGCACTCTCTGGACAAACTGCCCTATCCACACTTGAGCTCTGTTCTACCACTTTGTATGTGGACTGACAAACCCTCTTCAGTCTTGTCATTGATGCACATCAAGGTTTTAGATAGGTCACCTTGAAAACCTAGTAAACAAACCTGCTCGCTTGAGCTAAGAACAAATTGTGTATTTGTACACAAAAGCTCACAGCCAAGTTTCTGGAAGACTATTTTGACAAAACAAACAAACAAAAAACCCATAATAGCTAACAACAGGAATTCCCTGTAGCCCCAAGCGTATATACCTACCACCAGAGTCCTCAAATGTCCAAGGATGAAAAGGCTGTACTTGGCTCGTGTAATGGTGACATTCAATCTCTGCAAACTTGCCAGGAATCTAAGCAACAACAAGAAAGTTACTTCTGTATGCAGAATGGCATCACATCCCTTCAGAGGATGCAGGAAGCACTGCAGGCAGCTTCTTCAGAGCCCCTTCCATTTCTTCCTCGTCAGAGTGCTTCCTCACTATCTGCTCTGATTCAGGGTACCTGGTCAATACCACTAAAAACATCGAGCAAACCAAGCCCTTAGTGCTTTACTTCCAAGTTAACGTATTTGTTAAAAGCTCCTATTTTGACTTGGATAAAACACTAGAAAATTAAAAAGGGCCTAGAAAGATAGCTTAGCAGTTTAGAGCAACTCCTGCACTTCCAGAAGATTCAACTTCCATTCTGAGCAACTGGCCTCTGGCCTGTACAAGTGCACACACACAAATAAAACTAAAAACATACAGTTGAAGTTATATTTAAAGTCATAAAAAACTATTGTGGAACTAGTATAGAAATACAATGGATATATGATAATGGCAAAATTTTAAATCACTATTTTAAGTCTAAACAAATGTCTAATTTGTTGGGGAGGTTGTGCCTCCCCCCCCCCACATGTTTTTTCTGTGTAGCCTTGGCTGTCCTGGAACTTCCTTTGTAGACCTGTCTGACCTCAAATTCACAGAGATCCACCTACCTCTGCCTCCTGAGTACTAGGATCAAAGGCCTATCTCAAATCGCTAACTTGTTTATCTCATAGAAAAAAAGAAATTCAACCTAGTGACCCAAAAGCATCTTTAACATTTTCAATAGGTAAACTAATAGTACTTAAGGTTGCACTCATAGAAAAGTTGTGTGGCATGTACAGCTCTCTGCAAAACACACTTATTATGAACATCAGTCTTACTGAATAGACACGCCCCATAGAAAAGGGCCAACACACAAAATAATAGAAAAAGCATATCTCACAGATCATCTACTTCACAATTTAGACAGTTTCCAATTGCTACCAAAGCTGTGTGTATGCACATGCACACACATGTAGAGGCCAGAGGCTGATATCAGGTGTCTTCCTCAACTGTTCTCCATTTATTTTTCAAGACAGCATCTCTTACTGAACTCATCATTTAGGCTAGCCAGCAATCTCCCAGGATGTGCCTATGTCTGACCTGGTTACAGTGGGTTAGAGATGTGCACCATCATGCATGGTTTTGTACATGGGTGTTGGACAAGTCCTTATGCTTGTATGGTAATAAGCACTTTGCCAAAACGAACCATCTCCTGAGACAAGCTATTTTATAGTGGTTCTCAACCTTCCTAATATGTGGTCCTTTTTACAGTTCCTCATGCAGTGGTGAACCCTAACCATAAAATTTTCATTACTACTTCGTAACTGTAATTTGCTACTATCATGAATTGTAAATATCTGGCATGATGGATAGCGGATATGCAACCCTGTGAAAGGGTTATTTGACCCCTACCCACAGGTCGAGAACACTGTTTTGAACAAAAGAAAATAAAGCAAATGATAGGGTTCTCCTTAAGGGAAGTCACTGGTGGCTCTAGATGACAGAGCTGATTCTCAACAAGTGACAAAGCAGTGTGAGCTACTTACCCAATTGAACCTTGCACAGCACTCGCCCTGACACAGGTAACAATTATACAGTCTTTCTGCCGGCCCTGGAAGGCATCCACTGTATCCACTTCTGCAGGCCTGTTTACGAAAGACACGTGTTTACCAAAAAAAGGTAAAATGGTGAAATACACGCACACAGCAGTATTTAAAACTCTTCATTGTGATGTTGGGAGATGGTGGCACATGTCTTTTATCCCAGCACTCAGGAAGTAGAGGCAGGTGGATGTCTGTGTGATTACAGCCTGGTCTACAGAATTACGGAGCAGCCAGGACTACAGAGAGAAACCCTGTCTCGGGGAAAAAAATAAATTTTATACGCACACACACAGAGTTATAAGGTTCATTATATACTCCAGCTTTTGAGGTCAGCACATCATCCTTTCTCCATTCTTCTCATAGCATCTTTTGAAACACAATTCTTAAGTGTTTAGGAAGTCCAAAGAAACCACCTCTTAATCTGACGCTATACATATTTATATGTATGTTTCCCTAAGCCTTTCAGAGTCTTCTATGGCTTCATCAGCTTGATGACTTCTGTAGAGGCAATTGGAATCCTGGCAGAGAAAGCACCGATCTTCTTTGGGGAACTGCCATGGGAACAGCACTGAGTCTTCTTATCCATGAACATCTTTGTGTGTTTTGGATATTTAAAGTTTTTCTTGTAACATACTTTGTAGTTTTCAGTGGATACATCTTAGAGTACTTTGGTTTTATTTACTCCTAAGTATTTTATTATTTTTGGTGCCATTTTAAGTAGAATGTTTTTACTTCCTGTGCAACTATTCACTGACAACAGATTTTATATATGGTCCTTTAAACTTGTTTGTTTAAGCCCCCTAAGGGTTTCTTTGTGTAGCTTCATTAATGAATCTATAAAAATAACCATGCTGAATTATTTACAGACTTACACAAGAAAAAACGCTTGCTTTGACTAGAACCTCTAGTATAATGGACAACAGAAATAAGAACAACAAGCATCCTTCATGGTCTACAGGAACGACTGCTGAACCATCAAGGAGGAATGTTACCTATGCGTTTTTTACAGACACCTTTAATCAAGTTAAGAAATTTTCTCTGTAGCCCTAATAACATTTTCAGTTGTAAAAGATAATAGATTGTGTTAGGTGCCTTTTCTGTTATCTATTGATATGGAACATGATCTCCATTCTGTAACCCACATTGGCCTCAAGCTCATTCTGCTCATCCTGCCTTGGTCTCCCTAGTATGGAGCTCCAGGAGTGAAATGTCATATCCTGCTTCCTTCGCTTATGTCATTAATATGCTACACTCTAGTCATGCTTTTCAGGTCTCTTTAATATATACCAAATTCAGTCTGCTGTTGTCTGTTTAGCATTCTCACATCTGTATGTGAGTGTTTATCAACCCTATGGCTTTTATAATACCTTCCTGGGTTTGGCGTCATAAAATGAATTACAAAGTGTTCCTGGAGCTGGCAACACATGGCTCATCACATAAGGCAGCTTGCTACCAAGCCTGATGATCTTAGTTCTATCCCAGAAACAAGAGGTTATCCTTTGTCCACAAGCACAACATGATGTGCCTGCCCACAACATAAATAAATGTTAAGAAAGAAAGAAAGAAAGAAAGAAAGAAAGAAAGAAAGAAAGAAAGAAAGAAAGAAAGAAAGAAAAGTGTTCTTGTGCATTTGTAAAGTCCTAAGTATTACTGGGTGTTCTGTTATTTTCAGATACGGTATTTCCTATATAGCCCAAGCTGGTCTAAAAATAGATCCTCCTGCCTCAGACTCCCGAGTGCAAGGATTATAGGCACACAGCTGTGTTAGTGCAGCTGGTGAAATTCAGCAGACAGATCTAACCCCAGTTTCTCATCACTGGGAGGTTTTGATTACTAGTATTATTTGCCATATATATATATATATATATATATATATATATATATATATATATATATATATACACACACACACATATATATATATATATAAAATCTCTTCAGATTTTTTATTTTCTCTAAGTCAATTTCTGTATTTCTAGATAAACATATAATTGTTGTTAGTTTTGGTATTTTAAAAGATTATTTTTGTGTGTCTTTGAGAATCATAGTGAATGTGTGCATGTGAGCAAAGGCCACAAGAGGATGCTGGTGTCCTCTTCTACCACTGCCTACTCTTTGAAAGGGTCTTTCCCTGAATCTGGAGCTCATCCATGCTTTCTCAGATAGGCTGGAAGCCAGCAAAACCAAAAGATCCTCCTGTCTCTGCCTGCTTCTGAGCTTGGGTTATAGAGAAGTATACTGACCGCTCACTTGTTTCCTAAATGCTGGGATCTGAACTCCTGTCCTCATGATTGCATATGAAGTGCAATCTTAACCACTGAGCCATCTCTTCTTCATTGAGATAGGTCTCATGTAGCCCAGGTTATCCTTGAGCTCACTATGTAGAAGAGTGTGATGATTAGTGTTAATAATAGTCAACTTGGTAAAGGTTATAATAGCCTAAGAAATGGGTTGGGGGCAAGAAGCTGGGGGATTATCTACTAATGGTGTTAGTTGAGTTGGGAAGACCCACCCAGTGTGGGTGACACCATTCTCTACGCAGGAGACTCCAGACTGTGTAAAAGTGGAGCAATCGAGCTCATCACTAGTATGCATGCATTCACTGCTCTTCTTCCGCTGATTGGATGCTTCAGGGTCCTGCTGCCTTGACTCCCCCATCATGATGGGCTGTAATAAACTGTGAGGTGAAATAAACCCTTTAATGCTTTTGCCACAGTATTTTGTCACAGCAATGGGGAAAAGAAACTATGGCATCAAGGGTGACCTTGACTGATCGTTCTGCCTCCACCTTCCAAGTGCTGGAATTACATGTTTCTTACCACATACCTGACACTGACTTTCAGATTTTAATCTTTAATTTTAATGTAGAGGTAAGGAGACAAAAACACAATCTTAGCAGGGCCTGAAGGCACTGTAATTCCATGTACACAGGGTACTGAGGCAGGAGGATAGCAAGTACAATGGCAACCTGGGAAACTTACTGACAGTCATAAAATAATAAAAAAGAAGACTGGATAATATAGCTTAGAGATGCTTAGAGCACTTGCCTAATGTACAAGACCCCAATTTAAAAAAAAGACCCCAATTCAACCCCACTATTGTTAAGAAAAAACCTAATTCAACTTTTATAAACACCAGAAATACATGGAAAAATACATCACCCTTTCTTATCAAATTCTTTCTCCAAATCCTTCTGGATCATCGTCTTCTGAGCCTTGTAATGAGTTATTATGCCAATATTTCGGGAGGAAATATCCTTTTTTTTGTCTTTAATAAGTTTAATTATTTCCATCACCAACTTTATTTCTTGAACATTTATGTATGAGCTAAATGAGATGAAAAAAAGACAATGCATCAAATCTCACCGCAGTCTACTTGCTCACTAATTCGATATAGTTGGTTTCCCATTACCATAAAGAGCACATAGATAGATGTTTTCCCACTTAGGCAGCAGCGTCAAGAGGATGTAATAGGAACTATTTACATCTATGAATGACTGTCCAATCCAGGAAGTGATTGTAAAAAACGAATTTGTAGTCAACTGAAGTTTGAACCAACAACCACATAGCTGAAAACATGCCACCCAGACAGATAAAGGAACAACATGGCCCACCAGGGTTGAATAGCACGAAAGCCACTTCATCCTGCCATTATCTCCATCCCTGTACTCCCAGTCCACACCTCAAGTATGTGTTCTTCATCCTCTGCTCTACTTTTGAAGATGCCACATAAAGCCTGCAGTTTCAATCCCTGTAGTGTTGCAATCCTACAGGCAAACTCCTCTGTATTGTTCACTTCTTCAATGAATGTTCCTGCCCATTCCCTATTCTGGTCTTAGAAACTGCATTTTTTTCCATATTTCTCCATAGCAGGGCAGTATTTATTTATGCACAGTCTAATGAATACTACCTCTAGACTGTTAAATTCCTCTACACAAAGCTATCCTTGGCTCCTCTGATATATTTGCTACCTAGCTACATACCACCCACCCCACTTTGCTGTCATTTCATAGGTACCCAACACATTACCTCACAACTCAAAATCCTTACAATATGGTCATACTAGGCCACGATCTGCTCCCTTAATGCCCAATCATTCAGCTGCATCTTTTCACTGCACTTGAGCCCACCTGGAATGGTCACTCATCTCAATGACTATCTAGTTAATGTCTGTCTTCCCATAACACCACAATCACCTTACTGAATCTGTTACTGCTATGATTTACTGGTCACCTGAGAGTACTGCCCATTTAAACATAGAAAAGGGGAAACTATCAACACAGATAGTGAAAATGACTATGCCCCGATGCTAGAAAGACATGTATGGGAAAGGGTTATAACACAGTGATTCTGAGACCATTACTGGAGAACGAAGGAAGAGGAAAACATACTCATTATCCCGTTGTTCTGAACCATCTCCAACATCAAACACGAGGTAGGGCTGAAATGGCCACTCTGATGAACACCGAATGGCTTCAGTCATTCTACAGAAAAGTAACCATATTCAGAAAATATGCTCTAAAGTACATTATCATTAACTTTTTTTTCTGTGTAAGACAGAACTAGGAAAAAGTTAAGGGATAAGAGGCCTTTCACAGATGCATAGCAGTGCAAAGTCTAAACTAGATTTTATTTCCATTCTGGTACCAAGAAAGGTTATCTACACAATCATGACTCGAGAAGAGCTCATAACATAGCACATGAATTAAACAACCAGGGATGGGGAAACATGGTGTAGCCTCCAGAGAGAGCAAACACACAAACCACAGTTAAGAGGCAGGCTTCAAAAAAAAAAAAAAAAGAGCCTGGCTTCAATCCAACACAAGACAGGACAGGTCATGAAGTTATCAATGATTACATCTGAGTTATATTAAATACAAGTCACTTTTGCCTCTTTCTTTTTCTTTTTTAAGACTGGGTATATATATCACTGGCTGGCCTTGAACTCAGAGATCAACCTACCTCTGTCTCAGGACTGCTAAGATTAAAGGCATATATTTAATATAACCAAAATAGCATTTATAATTAGAGAAAAATCATTTCAAATTGATGATTTATGCTGATCACCCTAGCAACAAGGTCTTACTCTGCAGCCTAGACTGACCTCTTAACTCTCAACAATTTCCCAAGTAACAGGATCACCCACATCAGCTAACACAGCTGGCATGATTTATGCTTTTTATACCAAGCCTTCTTCATAAACAGCTAAACCTTCAAATAAGACAGGCTTACAAGCAATACAGGACACCTACCTATTTGTTTTCAAGTTTTTGTTATAAACATAATTAGAAGGGAAGAGACATATATCTGGATGCATCCTGTACTGAATGGTAAGCTGTAAAACTGGCAGCCTGCCAATCATGTTCTGCTCCACATTCTCTTCAAGCAGCTTGCAGAATCGTGCCATCATTGACTGATCATAGCCATACTCCTGTGCTTTCTGAGAGAAAGGAAAAAAAAAAGTATTTAAGAATTTGTACCAAAAAAAAAAGTCCAGGGCACACCTTTAATTCCAGGGTGGCAGAGGCAGGTGGATCTTTGAATTTGAGGCCAACGGGGCTACAGAGTGAGCTCTAGGACAGCCAGGGCTACACACAGAAACCTGTCTCGAAAAACCAAAAAAAAAAAAAAGATAAACAAAACACACACAAAAAAAAACCCCTCTGTCTCTCAACATTTCCCACAAAAAGAAATATAATCAAAAAAATAATGCCTGGATCATGGGGGCACTCAATATGTAATACTGAAAAAATGAATAAATATACACACAAATGCTTGTCATTATCCTCTAAAATACTAAATTTTCCACAGTAATTATCTCCAGAAAATAAGTGGTTAAACTACAAGTGAGCTGGGAACAGTGGCACACACCTTTAATCCCAGCACTTGGGAGGCAGAGAGCCACCAGCTTCTGTGAGTTCCAGGCCAGCCTGGTCAATAAAGTGAGTTCCAAGATAGCTCGGGCTATTACACAGAAAAGCCCTGTCTGGAAAAACCAATAAACAAGTAAACAAACAGACAGATAAGTACACTAATGAGTTACGTGGCTCAGTGGTTAATGGAAGAGCACTTGTTCTTGCAAAAGGCCCAGATTTGATTCCCACCAACCCACACAGGAATTTGTTACATACACACACAAAAAAAATGTTTTTTTAATGTAATTTTATTTATTTATTGTGTGCACTGGTGTTTTTCCTACAAGTATGTCTGTGTAAGAGTGCCAGATGCCTTGGAACTGGAGTTATAGACAGATGTGAGCTGCCATGTGGGGGCTGGAAATTAAACCAGGGTCCTCTGGAAGAATAGTCAGTGCTCTTAACCACTGAGCCATCTCTCCAGCCCCACAAAAAAAAAATAGTATTTTTAAAAGATGTAAGAAATCAACTTTGTAATCACTTTTCAGTTTCCCTCAGTAAGCTTCTTTTATTTGTATAAGAATTTTTAAAAGAACAATAGTTGGATCTTACCATTCTTGCTGTTTCTATATCAAGACAGTAATGTTGAGGCCATCAGCAATCCTTTTCCCCGCATGCTGAGGCCTTTTGGGAAGTTAAAAAACCCTGTACACCTGGTGGCGCACGCCTTTAATCCCAGCACTCAGGAGGCAGAGGCAGGCGGATCTCTGTGAATTCGAGGCCAGCCTGGTCTACAGAGTGAGTTCCAGGACAGCCTCCAAAACAATACAGAGAAACCCTGTCTCGAAAAATCAAAAAAAAAAAAAAAAAAAAAAAAAAAACCACTCACTGAATAACTGCACTGAAATGTTTTGAAATGGTATTTTCTAAGACATGAGGCCACCACTCTGCATAAAAGATGTTAGTAAACATAAATTTCATTACTTTCCAAACCATGGTATAAGCCTATTTAGATTGCCCCCAAACAATACTAGGTCCTAATTCAGTTATGTATTTCCAGGAGACAAGTCTAGTGCGGGGAAAATACAAAACAAAAAAGGCAGACTGAAACATGTCAGTACTCGCCTTCCACAGCTGAGTTCATACAGTACGTTTTCTTTTGTTATCATCCGCATTTTCAGATGTGAGGGGCACCTACTGAAGAAAAAAATGCCCAAACTGGACACCCATTTCCAAATCATGCCTCCTTGCATTTTCCTCAGCTTTGGGAATACTCAGTATAAAGCATGTGGGGGTGGGGGTGAGGGTGGGTTGTCTTTACATTTTAAAATTGTGTCTTACATGTTTTGTGTTCTCATCGAATCAGATATAACTCCTCCAGCAGGAAAAGCCTGTGGCACTTCAAAGTGACCTTTAGGTTTTCCTGTCTATGAAACTCTTGTCTATACACTCAAAAGCACATCTATGCACTAAGAGCACATCTGCAGAGACAGTCACTCTCTTTTGAGACAAGGTCTCATTGTGCATCCCTGGCAGGTCTCATTAGAGAACTTGCTCAGCCTGCTGAGTGCTAAAACTACAGGCATGCACAATCATGTCTGGCCACAATTTCTTATGAAACTTCAAATAAGTTTTCTCTGTTCTCTGTCATTTCCTAATTTTCCCTTTAATTTGAAACAGAACCTTAGTCTCGCAAAAGCAAAAATAGACCCTCCACCATCAACAGAAACACTCACCATAGAAATGACTGTGGGAGGGAGCTGTTTGGGGTCTCCTACAAGGATAAGTTTGTTGCAGCGATGGATAAGTGGAGAAAGTGTCTCAACTTCACAAGACTGCCCAGCCTTGGTAAGAAAATATAGAAGGAGAAATAGCCTTAATTAAGTTCAAATGCTCATAAAAGTACCAAATTCCTCTCTTACCACAAGCTAAACCTTTTTTTTTAATTATGCAGGACCTCATATATGTTGGGCAAGTGTTCATCTACTGAGTTATATATCAGCCTCTACAGCAGGTATAAAAAAAAAGCATTTTTAAAAAAACGTTCAAAGTATATTATACTTGCATGAAAATGTCTTCATGTAAAACATTGTACCATGTACAATGAAGATATAGCAATGAGCTGGGCGGTGGTGGCCCACGCCTTTAATCCCAGCACTCGGGAGGCAGAGGCAGGCGGATCTCTGTGAGTTCGAGGCCAGGCTGGACCGACAGCCTCCAAAACAATACAGAGAAACCCTGTCTCGTAAAAACCAAAAAAAAAAAAAAAAAAAGATATAGCAATGAAAATATATATATATAAAAGATTTCATTACAAAACAAAAATTATCTAAACTCAATTTTTAAACAATCTAACAAGTATTTTGAACTCAACCACCACAGATACCTTAACTGTGGAGTTAGCTACCATCCTAAGTATCTGCTGCTGGGAAGCTCCACTAACAGCCGTTTTACATTGTTATCTCGGAAATTCAGAAATTACTTGAGGCATGACTGTCTTTTTCCCATCTTTCTAATTCAGTAACATTTCCTTCAATTATTTTATCATTCCCATTTTTCTGTTTTTAATTTTTTGACACATCTACAACAGGATAAGGGAGCTCCTACACTGATTCTGTATATCTAATGATCCAAGTCTTCTGACTTTTCATTCTAGTCTGTAACAGTAGGTATAGGATCAATGCTCAGTAAATGGGCAAGAAATAAAAGATGTCAGCTGAAAATGCAGCAGCCAAAGCTGCCCAAAATCATAAATATTTCCAAAGTTAGCAGAGAAACTGCAGCAGCTCAACAGGATAGTTCTAGAGACAATCCTACCCAGAAGACTACAATCCTCATTTGTAGCAGACTGTCAGTACCATGTTTCACTGTATGAGAACAGGTGCACACCAGCTAAGAGCTGGGGGAGTAGAGGTTCACTCTCTAGCACAGCTCAGAAGTAGTGACCACTTGGTAAAAACCTGCTCTCCATCCACACTCGAGCATCCACACTGTTCTTCACAGTACTAATCTCACTTGCACACGTCAGTGCCCACTGACCTCATCAACAATGACACAACTAAAGGGGACACCCCCTTGCCCTCGAAAAGCAGACTCAAGCAGCAAACCACCGCTTGTGCTCAACGTGCAACAGATAACATGAGACTCCAAGATGATGGTATTCTGTGTTTTCTGTGGGCGCCCCTGAACCTAGGACAACAAAGAATAACCATATTTAGTTATATACAAATCCTGTAAGTCCTATTTTTACTATTAAATATCTACCCTTTTTTTGTTCATGTGACATAAAAATATTTAATAAAAAGGGGAAGCCTTGGCTCTAGAAAACAGGAGAAATCCCTCTGAAGTAATCCATTGTGGACTTCAAGACAATGTAAGTTGAGTGTTAGGAGAGTACTCTGGCTCCAGTGCTAAAGCACTGCCAGGTTCTCTTAGCCATCGCAATAGTGAGTCTTCACCCAAAATGATTAATCTAATAGTCCATAGAAGACACACGATGAAAACATCAAAGTTCACAACACCCATGAACAATGTACTTCACTTGTTTAGTGTGGACTACTAACTTAAGAGGTCATTTACATTGGTAATGAAAACATACATTAAATCCAACTATGTTTATCTCTGGTCAAAAAAACTGCAAACCATGTTACCTAGGCACAAATCTGTGACTTTCACCAATCACAAAAATTGGCTAGAAAGGACCGACAGCCTCCAAAACAATACAGAGAAACCCTGTCTTGTAAAACCAAAACAAACAAAAAAAAAATTGGCTAGAAAAAAAATATCTGCATTAAAAATGTAAAACTTTTGCCATTATTCCCTAAAATAACAGTGTAGAAAAATGTATCTATAAAATTCACACGATGGACTGGAGAGATGGCTCAGCAGTTAAAAGCACTTGACTGCTCTTCCAGAGGACCTGGATCACTTCCTAGCATCTGAACACTGCCTCACAACTGTCTGTAGCTCTAGTTACAGAAAATTTGACAATTTAAAGCATAAAGGCTGCCGGCGGTGGTGGCGCACGACTTTAATCCCAGCACTCGGGAGGCAGAGGCAGGCGGATCTCTGTGAGTTCAAGGCCGGACTGGACGACAGCCTCCAAAACAATACAGAAAAACCCTGTCTCGTAAAACCAAAAAAAAAAAAAGAGCATAAAGGCCAACATACATAGGTTACATGCAAAGGCTTTCTTGGACTGTGGGTGGTTGTCTGGGAACTAAGGACCAAATGTACATGATACAGGATTCAAACACAGGCACAAAAACTTATTCTCTAAGCCAAGAATTGGAAATGGGAGGGGGGTTGTATGTTTTATGCCAAATCATATCCACTGCCACTCAATTAATATTCATAATGGAGCACATGATAGTTCACAGTTGCTACCTTCTTACTAAACTACAAACGTGGTTCATCCTAATCTTCCCACAAACCTAATCTCTTGAATTTCTCATGGTAGCAATTATCTATTTGCAGCTGGTGAAAAAAGAAACTGTTTAATACTGACCTATACCTAAGAGAAAAACACTGATGGCTCCACTTTTGCAGGTGCCATTTCCGCGTTAAATATTTTTTAAAACAAAACCTCAGCTGGACGGTGGTGGCACACACCTTTAATCCCAGCACTCCAGAGGCACAGATGGGCAGATCTCTGTGAGTTCCAGGACAGCCAGGGCTACACAGAGAAAACCTGCCTCAAAAAAACAAACAAAAAACAAAACCCTTCAGTCCTTATGTCCTCTCTAAACTGTTTCATAAAGAAAGCAAGATGCTGCAGATAAACTACTTACTTCTTTAATTTTTGAAGCAAGTTCTTGCCTTTCTTTTGCAATTTTGACAATACATCCATCTAATTCTTGCCTCTGAAAACAAATTAGAACATTACCATGAAAACCAAACACTTTAGAAAGCTCTCAGACACTTCACACCTTAGGAGACTGGAAAATATCTTACACATGAACTCACTAAAACAGTGTGCTCTCTTCCCTACCAGACAAGTCCTAACAATCCTCTGTACAGTTAAGGACCGTTGTATCTCCTGTGCTCCATTTTTTGCTTTCTGCCTAGTATCTCAAACCTTGGAGCATCATCTCTCCATTCATGTCTAAAGCGGTTCACACACAACAACCCTGCCAGTGATGAGCACATGATGCAAGCACGGGAAATCATGGCACCAGAGACTAATCAAAGTGTGTCCTAGGAACAGACTCAAGGTATTCTAAGCTAGAGTGGTGGCGTCCAGAAATACTGGCACTTATCCTCTCATGGAAAAGAAATGACTGACATACAAAGAAAAGGAAATCAAAAGGTAGCAAAATGTTAACAACTAGCCGGGCGGTGGTGGCGCACACCTTCAATCCCAGCACTCGGGAGGCAGAGGCAGGCGGATCTCTGTGAGTTTGAGGCCAGCCTGGTCTACAGAACAAGTTCCAGGACAGGCTCCAAAACTACACAGAGAAACCCTGTCTTGAAAAACCAAAAAAAAGTTAACAGCCAAGGCTCTGGATACAACCATACTGACTTGACTTTGAGTATATGAGCCAGTTTTTTTTCGCAACCTAATGATAAATGTTGGGTTTTTTTGGGGGGAGCAGGGGTTCAAGGCAGGGTTTCTCTGTGGCTTTGGAAGCTGTCCTGGAACTCACTCTTATAGACCAGGCTAGCCTCCAACTCAGAGATTCACCTGCCTCTGCCTCCTGAGTGCTGGGATTAAAGGCATGCGCCACTACTGCCCAGCCAGGTAATTTTTATTTTTATTTATGTGTATGGTTGTTTGGCCTGCGTGTATGTTTATATCACATACATGCCAAGAGTCCAAGGAAACCAAAAGAGGGCATCAGATCCTCTGGAACTGGAATTATAGTTGGTTGTGAGCTGCCATGTAGGTGTTGGGAATAAACCTGGGTTCCCTGGAAGAGCAGTCTGTGCTCTTAACCATTGAGCCATCTCTCCAGCCCCTAAAATGTTTTCAGTTACCAACTGAAAAGTGCCTAATAAGTACAATAACTATCTACTTTTATAAATAAATGTTTACTGCAACACAACTGCATCTGTTTGTTTACATTGATCTGGTGAAGCTTCAGAGTCACCATCAAGCAGAGAAGCTGTAACAGACACTGTATATTCTATAAAACATACAGTATTTACTTCACAAAAGAGTTTGCTATAACCCTGACATTAGGCACACTACTTCAGCGTAATTCGTGGACTCATGCCATACCTCAGTAAGAACACCATCACACACCCATTGACTAGCCCATGTCTAGGTTAAGTCTGCAAAGAAATGTCCATACCTGCATCTCCCGCCCCCCTCGACACAGAGCTCGCTGACGAGAAATCTCATCAAGTTGACCATCTAGAAATTCTTTTCTTCTAAGCATGTCTTGAATATGAGAAGGCAAATCTTTTTCTATTATAAATTTCAAAATCACATGTTAATTTTAACAAATTCACACACATACACAAATACAATGAGAAGAAAAACTTCTCAAAGCTATACAAGTCCTGGGATCTCCAAATACCAAATACCAATTATGCCCCCTCATCATTACTTTGCCATACAAAAGGAAGCAGAACACCAATACAAATGCCATCACTTACTCATTCTGTGGCTGACTTGGCTGTCCAAACTAAATTTTAGGACCTCTGTATTAATAGACTTCTCTGGACCCAGTCGTACTAAATTTATATCTCCACAATTTCCTGTTGATAAAAAGACACAAAATTTATCCAGGAAGTGGTGGTGCACATCTTTAATTCCAGCATTAGGGAGGCAGGGGCAAGTGGATGACTGAGTTCAAAGCCAGCCAGAATGAGTTCCAGGACAGCCAGGGCTACACAGAAAAAGGCAGAGGCAAAAACAGAAAGAAAGAAAAGAGAGAGAGAGAGAGAGAGAGAGAGAGGAGAGAGAGAGAAAGAAAGAAGGAAAGAAGGAAGGAAGGAAGGAAGGAAGGAAGGAAGGAAGGAAGGAAGGAAGGAAGGAAGGCCCTTAATTCTATGTTTCCATTAGCAAATACCACTTGAAAATACTAAGGACTGCCAGGAGGTGATGGCACATGCCTTTAATCCCAGCACTTGGGAGGCAGAGGCAGGCGGATCTCTGTGAGTTCGAGGCCAGACTGAACCAACAGCCTCCAAAACAATACAGAGAAACCCTGTCTCGTAAAACCAAAAAAAAACAAAAAAACAAAAAAAAAAAAAAAAAACTAAGGACTATTAGGTGATGAAGCTTGGAAGAAATGGAGCAAGGAAATGTTTCTTAGTTGGCCTGTGTGCAGCTGGAAAAAAAGAAATTTCTTTAGGACTCTGCAACAACACAGGTCTGGGTCATATATGCACTTAGATAAATACACAAAACAAAGGAGACCCAACTGTAAATACAATTATGATTTAAAAAAGCGCCGGGCGTTGGTGGCGCACGCCTTTAATCCCAGCACTCGGGAGGCAGAGGCAGGTGGATCTCTGTGAGTTCGAGACCAGCCTGGACTACCAAGCGAGTTCCAGGACAGCCTCCAAAGCCACAGAGAAACCTTGTCTCGAAAAACCAAAAAAAAAAAAAAAAATTAAAAAAAAAAAAATAAAAAAGCTCAGGAGGCAGAGGCAGGCAAACCTCTTTGTTTGAGGTCCAGTACAGCCAGGGTTATACAGGAAAAAACCCTATTACAATAAATAAACAAACCCAATTCTTGAAAACATTTAACAACTGTCAAAAAGAAGAAAATAAATCACACCAGTAATAAACCAAGACAAATAACAAACTGTGTAAAATAATGTCTTATGACATAAAAAGAATAAGTTGTTTTCATTTATGAGCACTAACTTCAAAGTCCTAAAAATAATATATTAGCAATCAAGCATTGTGTCACAGAATAATGACATTCACAAGATATTATCAGCATGATTTTGCAAAGGCAAAGGGAGAAAAAAAAAGCCTTATCATTTCAACAGACATAAAAGAAAAGCAGAAAATGTATAGTTTATTATCCACTGACAAAACTTTGGGCTCTTAGTTGATTTCTGACTTTACCACAACAACTAATCTGTACTTGAACACACATTTACTGCTGATACCAGGTACAAGTCCATCAACCACAGCACCTGCAGCCATGCCTCCTGGGTGCACATGCAGCTTGCTTTCTTGGATAGTGCTATCCAAATTATGGCTTGAGAGGCAGTCAGTGGACTGCAGGGTCAACTTATAGGTACTAGAAATGCTATTACTTCAAAGAGAACACAAGGATAGACAGAAGACATCTACCCTCACAACCATTAACAAATACATAGCAAAAAGGAAAGAGGTTTGGCTATAAACTGATAATGTATTACATTTTAGGGGAAACAAATACCCTGTATTAGGTACACATATGTAAAAAAAGGAAAAATATATCATCTCTCAGAATACTGACATGCCACAGGTAATTTGCAGTGAAAGGGAAATAAATAGATGATACTATAGCATCTAGGAACCCTCCTCAAAAGACAGTTCATTTGTTCTTTGTCATTTCGCCTCTCCTCATTCTTGGTGATGTGATAGCTAGGTGCAGCAGTTATCCCTCACCAAGAGGTACACTAAGGGATGGAAGGTCACAACACAGTAAGGCTCCAGGACAGAAGGAAGCCAGTTCTCTCAAGACTGCACAGCAGAGACTAGTGCCCATGCTAATGGGCCCCCTAAGCTTTTGAACTGGAAGCAAATATCATGCTTAAGCTAATACACATGGAATTTCTGTTACTTGCAATGGACTCTGATCTTAACTGATAAAAGGCAGTGACATATTCTCAGGGGGAGAAAAATATGAAAAAAATAGTAACAAAAACAAGAGAGTATCATACCCAAAGGATTCTTCTTGTCTTTACATTTTTCTTTGAATTCGAGGATAATTTTCTTCATAAGTTCATCAACAGCTGCATTGGAAGGTGCACACACGAGGACTCGGTTTTGCTTGATTTTGGCATTGAAGTTTTCATTAGAATGGCCCTTCCTCTGGTTCTACGATTTGTCACACAGCAGACAAACAACAATGAGCTCTATTCTTGGAATTCAAATCTTTCTCTGCTTCCAAGAATGCTTGCAAGTTCTCACAATGGCTGAAGTAAAGCATCTGTTCCTCACACAATATGAAAGTTACTATGGCATGTAATGCAGGGGCATACTGCATAGCACTTACATGCACATATGAGAAACAGGAAGAAAAAATAAAACAACAAGCCGAGCAGAGGTGGCACGACTTTTAAATCCCATCACTTGGGAGGTAGAGGCAGGTAGATCTCCAGGACAGTCAGGGATGTTACACAAAGAAACCATGTCTCAAATAACCAAAACAATAATAAAAAAAGATTTCTCTGGCATGAAGTTTATCACAACTGTTTAGATGCTCTATACCTTACCTTTATTTCATCAATACTTAATATTCAGTCCAACCAACATTTAGCTCAAAAATACATTCAAGAAGCTGTAAAGCTGGCTTAGCAGTACAGAGCACCAGTGGCTCTTCCAGAGATCTCAGGTTCGATTCCCAGTGCCCACATCATGGCTCAAACTGTCAGCAGCCCCAGTTCCAGGAGAATCTGTTTTCTTCTGGTCTCTGTAAGTACTGTATGAATACTGCATACAGACACATGTGGGCAAAACACCCATATGTATAAGATTAAAAACAACAGTAATCTTTTAAAATACACAAGTAAAAGGAGAAAGGCACTTTAAGACTCACATGCCTCTTAATTTTGGTCAAGCCAAGTCCAGGGTAACACCTACCTCTGTCAATAAGCGGTACAAGAGACCAACAATGGTTTTGGATTTTCCTGTTCCAGGGGGCCCATGAATCAAACAGATTTTGGCAACAGATGGGGATTGTTTCACCATAGCATATGCTGTTTCTATGGCTTTCTTCTGGTCTTCATTGAAGTCTTTTAAGTAGGTGATCTAAAGAGAAGATGTGTAATGAGTTCTCTCTGTGATGACACATGGGAGAAGTAATGAACAGCATATTTGTTCAACTTCTTCCAGTCTATGTCAAACAAAAGAAGTGTCTAAGAGACTGACCTAAGAAGCCACTCTCACAACTAGAGAAAACCTACTAATCAGTTACTAATTACTAATTAACACCTATAGGCTTCAGTCACTTAAAATTATGGCTTTATTTATGCTTCTTACAAATATGACAGTAAATTTTCTTAAATAAGCTTTTTAGTTTTTCTGATTTTTTTCCATTTAGTCAATTCTCTTCTTAGTGAAGGCCTCTAAAAATATTTCTTTCCTAATACAATGCCACACAGTAGAAAACAGTTTTCATAGCCAGACTTAGTCTAAACTTCAGTTTTTCAATTTGGAAAGCCATAATCCTAACCTCTTTGACTCATTAAACTAACACTCCTTCAAGGTGCAAAATGACCAGATAATGAACAATAAAGTCTAGGTATACAATAAGGGTTTAGAAATACTGGTTCCCTTTTATATGTTTTTGCTAATTTTCTAGACTATATGTACAATTCTTACAGTGAAAAATACAGGTTCATCACTTCATTTACAACAATCCCACAGTTCTCCACCATTGCACAAGCTAACCTACTTGTACACCTTGTAAAACTGACGGGAAATAAACACCACTGTGCACAAGCATACAGGACCATTCAGCAGCTAAAAATATCCTGATAAAAAGTTCTCTCACTTTCCCTGGCTTCATTCAAATCAGCACTCACAATTCTTTCAGATGATGTAGTTAACAGGTCTTTGGTACAGAAATCCATGGGGTTTGGATTTAGAACAGCTCTGGCCAACTGGTTCCGACTGCTCAACAGAGACATGGCTTTCAATTTCCTCTGTGTAGTTACCAAAGAACTGATCACAATACATTTCGTGTATTCATTTAGTCTGGCTGGCAAGTTATCTTGTGTCTGGATGCACAAGGAACACTCAGCTTTTCCACTGCGCACTACAAAGAGGAGAAAAGCAATGCATCAGTATAATGTTATCAACTGAAAAATTTTGTCACAAGTGTTTACAAAGGTTAAAAGGTTAGTCATAACTTGTATTTTACATGATGTATTTAAACAAATCACTTATATTTACTAAATGTAAAATTATTCTCATTTTTTTTTCACAGTTCAGGAGTTGGAAGTGGGTTTTGTGGAGTGAGTTTTATACTTGAATGGCTAGTAGAGAACTGTGTGGGATTGTTGCAAATGAGATGAACCTGTAGTTTTCCCTGTTAAAAACAAACAAAAAAGACAATATTGCTGTCCTGCAGAAAGAACTGCCAAATATGTTGAACAGTAGTGAGTGCTTATGGAGCAGATGGGACGAGGAAGGAATGGGGGACAAGCTGGTCAGTATCTTCCTAACAAGATGATACTGAGATATAAGAAAGCTTTGTCCTTTTGAGAAAAAGAGAGCTACAAAGACTCACCAAGCACAGAGACCTGGAGGTAGAAGTGTGCTGGGAGTATTTCAGATATAGGGAGGCAGAGCTAGTCCAGCTGGAAGGAAAAGCAAGGAGACATGCATTACAAGATCCAGAAAGCAAAATGGGGTGTATTTCTGTGGAGTTCTGGGTAACACAGCAATGACTCAGAATGTTATTCAGTTAGGTAGAAAACCATATGGTGTCTCTGTATAGGTAACAGGCTCTGCCTTATACATTAAAAAATAATCACTTCCCAGCTGGGTGTGGTAGCACACGTCTTTAATCCAGGTCCTGGGGAGACAGAGGCAGGATGATCTCTGTGAGTTTGAGGCTAACTTGAGCTACAAAGAGAGTTCCAGGACAGCTGGGTGCTACACAAAGAAACCTTGCCTAGATAGATACATAGATAGATAGATAGATGGATGGATGGATGGACGGACGGACGGACATGCTTTGGGAATAGTGATAAGCATAATGATGGCTGGATGTAGGATACAATGAACATAAAGAATCAGACAAATCAACGAATTTAATGTGGTTGTGAAAGACACAAAGACCAGAAACGAACACAAAGATTTAAATTATAGCTTTTCAAACACAGAGGTTCAACAGTTTTGAACGGAAAGGATTTTAGGAAAAGAGATAATTGTATATTTGATGATTATAAATTTGGCAAATGCTAATCATTTTCAAGAGCCAAAAGCAAAAATTAAGCCATATATCTCTGCTACAAATCTTCCACACATGTTGTACACAAAGAATCAAGCTAAGCCAGGAGGTGGTGGTATACACCTTTAATCCCAAAACTCAGGAGGCAGAGGCGGGGAATCTCTGAGTTCAAGTCCAGCCTGGTCTACAAAGTGTGTTCCAGGACAGCCAAGGCTACACAGAGAAACAGTGTCTCGAAACAAAAAAAATAATCAAGCTAAATTTGGCACATCAGTTAGAATGCAGCATGGTGGGACACTCAGGAGGATCCATGTTGCCTTGAAAACATGATACAGTAAGGTTGAAGAATCAGGAAACCATCTTCTCTTCATGTAAGTAAGAATACTAGTGTTTCACCTGTCAAACAGCAGACTGACATAAATATGAACTTCACAGTACAACACAACTATGTTTTGAACCATGCATGGTAATACAACCTAAAGCAGCAGCTTCTTATGAGGCTGAGGCAGGAGGATTACTTGAACATCAGAGATCAAAAAAAAAAAAAAAAAACAGTTGGGACAACATAGAGAGGCATACTTTAAAAAAAAAAAAGAAAAAGCTTCAATTCTGGATTGCAAATTAATCTTAGGAAACAATCTTGGCTATATAATATTTTTGAACAATGGATTCCCTTGGTAACACAGAATAATTCTGACCACCTTTGGAAAGCACTACAAATGTGCAGAAAAATAAGACACCTTGCTTTGGCATATGTTCTTAAATTTAAGCTATAGGAGAGAAATCCCTACAATGCAATAGATGGAAGTGATGAACAGACAGTAAATTTCCAAACTCAAGCTATCTTGTAATAAATTGTTTGTTCTTCTAATTAGTAATTAGTCACAAAACTAAGGTTGGAATGTGACTTATTAAAAACAGACACTGGAATTTGATATGTAAAAATGATAGATGGAAGAGGATGGATATTAAAACAAAGCTTGAGGCTAGAGAGATGGTTCAGCAGTTAAGGGCATATACTGCTCCTCCCAAGAACCTGAGCTGGGTTTCTCAGCAGCCATGCTGAGCAGTCATAACTGCCTGTAACTCCAGCTCCAAAGGGATCCAGCAGTCACCTGGCCTCAGCACTCACCTGCACTTGTGTGCACATACCTACATACACATAATGAAAAACACTAAGTGGAAAACAGAAAAGGAATTCTAAATGCTAAGTGATCAACCTGGCATATAACAAAATACAGGGCTAGAGAAGCACAAAGCACAGAAAATGAGATGATTGCCTCACACCTCATTTACTTACTGACTGAAGTACGGCGAAACTTATGAACATAACCACAGTAATAGCCATTTCGATCTTGCATGCCATTCCTGCTCATATCTTTCTTGTCTCTATGTAGTCTCTCAGGAACCAAAAACACCAGATCATTTTCCTTTGGATGAAGCTGTTTAGCTAGCTCAGATTCCTCCAGGTAAACTATGAAACAAAAATCAGCATTTATCAATTCTTAACAGATTTCAAGATCAATTTATAAGCAATTACACCTTTGTACTGAGTTCCAAAGCATAAAAGTCCTGATGGATTGATTCTGTATTGCATATCTATTAAAAAAGGAGATCTAAGCCAATAAAAATTTAAAATATGGATTTTTAGATCCTAACAGTAGCAGCTGTAGTTGCCTACATATGACCAACAAAACATCAAGCCCATTCAAAACTCCAGCACTGAAAGCAGAGGGGCTCTACAGGCCCCACCACTAGCTGACCAGTTACTAGCAGTTGATCGCTGCTAAGGATTACTTTTTGTTTTTTTCCATTTATTTATTTATTTTGCTTTTTTGAGACAGGGTTTCTTTGTCTAACAGCCTTGGCTGTCCTGGAACTCACTCTATAGACCAGAATGGCCTCAAAGTCAGAGATCCCTCTACCTTTGCCTAGAGTAGGTATGTACCACCACTGCCCAGCAAGGTCACTTTTCTTTAGGAGGATGGACATTGACAAGATTCCACAGACCCCAGCAGATGACCCCACATTCAGGCACAGAAATGTAGCGCCAACTGGGCTCAGTGGGCTTAAAAAAACAACAATCAGCTGTGTGGTGGTGGTGGTGGTGGTGGTGGTGGTGGTGGGGCATGCCTTTAAACTCCTCTGTAGAGTTACTTTTTTTTTTTTTTTTTTTTTAGTTTTTCAAAACAGGGTTTCTCTGTGTACCTTTTGGAGCCTGTCCTGAAACTCACTCTGTAGACCAGGCAGGCATCGAACTCTGGCTACCTCTGCCTCCTGAGTGCTGTAGTTAAAGGTGTTTGCCACCACTGTCCAGCAACACGTACCCCTTCCTTTATATCACCTGGGAGTGTCCCAGGACACTGGAGAGGCCTAAGACAAGAGAGGGGGACCCACTCTGTCCTTCCTGGCCTCTCAGCTCACCTTGCTATGTCAGCATCCCTGGAACCAGCCAGTCTTCTCTGGAGCTGGTGCATTGTAAATCAGAATGGCAGCCCCAATCCCTACAGATGGCTCAGGCCCTGACTTCACCTAGCTAGTTCATCTATAGAATTCCAGAAGAGCCAGGCCCTATGATAATGAGGAAATATTAAGCTACACAAAATAGGGATATCCTATGATATTTTATTGTGGGAGAAATCAGCTACGTGAGAAGCCAAGAAAGCCAAAAACCAAAGCTCCACAAGCTGCTCTCGGAACCACAACCAGAACCCAAAGAAAAAGCATCTCCTCCCCCTAGCTCTTTTTTTTTTTTTTTTTTTTTTTTTGGTTTTTCGAGACAGGGTTTCTCTGTATTGTTTTGGAGGCTGTCCTGGAACTCACTCTGTAGACCAGGCTGGCCTCGAACTCACAGAGATCCGCCTGCCTCTGCCTCCCGAGTGCTGGGATTAAAGGCGTGCGCCGCCAACGCCCAGCTCCCCCTAGCTCTTTTATCCCCCATATGTTCTAAGTACAGTGGTCAGTGCTATGAGTGCGTAGATTTCTCGTACAATTCTAGAGAAACCCTGTGTAGAAGAGAGAGAGAGAGAGAGAGAGAGAGAGAGAGAGAGAGAGAGAGAGAGAGAGAGAGAGAGAGAGAGAGAGAGAGAAAGCTAACTAAAAATTATAAAAAGAACCAGGTGGTGATGGTGCTTAATCCCAGTGCTTGGGAGGCAGAGGCAGGCGGATCTGTTTGAGGCCAGTCTGGTCTACAGAGCAAGTCCCAGGACAGCCAAAGTTACAAAGAGAGTCCCTGTTTCAAAAAATAAACAATGAATAAAATTATGAAAGGGGACTAACTGAAGAGATGGCTCAATGGTTACTTAGCTGCTCTTCCAGAGGACCTGGGTTCAATTCCCAGTACCTACATGTCTCACAAAGACATTTAACTCACTTTCAAAAATCCAACTGTAATTGTTCATTACAGTATTCTATAAAATATGAACAACAAAGAAATAAAAATGTTGCAGAATATTTACTATGTAAAGATGTGTTGCATTTGTTTAATTATATAAAGATGTGTTTTACCTTGCCTGCAAGGTAAGAGGTATAGGTGGTATTTCTGGGCAGGGAGAGTAAGTAGAAGAATTTAGGCTTGGGGGCAGGGTAGAAAAGAGACACTTGGGAGACACCAGGGTCCAGACAGACAGACACAGAGGAAACAGGAAAAGCAGGATATACAGAATGCCTCTCCCTCCCAAATGCAGGAATTAGAGATATGTGTTACTACACCTGACCAAGACAGAAGACCTTAAAAGCCATCAATGGCATTTCAAACAAGGGAGAAATGATAATTGTAAATGAGCACAGAGGTAGGTGAATCTCTCTGAGTTTAAAACCAACTTAGTCTATACAGTTAGTTCTAGTCAGGGCTACATGGGAAGACCAAGTTCAAAACACACACACACACACACACACACACACACACACACTGAAATATTTGGGGTTGAGAAAACTATCATGAACAAGAAATTTCCTCAAATTCATGTCAGAACTATAGCTCAGTGGTAGAAGGCAAAGGCCCTAAATTCTAATCCCAGAACACAAAACAAACAAACAAGCAGGAAAGAAAGAGACACTACACAGGTTGTCAATTACAGAGGGAAACAGTAACTTCACAGGAGACATTAATCAACCAAGGGATCAAAATCAATGTCCACCAAAAAAAGTCATCCTTCTGCTCTATTTTTACCAAAAGCACAAAACCTCAAGTCTAAGGTAACATCTGGGAAAAACAAAGGAGGTGTTCTACAAACTGAGTAATATTCTTTAGGCATCAAAGACACAGGCTAAGAAACTAGCTATCCTAGAATACTGGGGATTCAGAAGATAGCATAACTACTGCTGTTTGGACTCTAGATCCCAGAACAGAAAAGACATTAGTGAGACAATCACTATGATATAAATGATTCTCATATTCAGTATTATAGCAATTAATCCCTGGTTTCATCACTGTCCATGTATGCAAGATGTTAACATGTAAGGTTTGCTGGAAATTGTATGTGGACTCTACTGTAAGTTTTATAACCCTTTAAACTCTAAAGTTGTATGAAAATAAGAAGTGAGTTCTTCCAACTCAAATGCCAGGGTTCATCGCCTTATGTCACTCTATTAACCCTCCTCCCATGAAAGCCATTTTCTTTTTTTTTTTTTGGTTTTTACAAGACAGGGTTTCTCTGTATTGTTTTGGAGGCTATCGGTCCAGCCCAGCCTCGAACTCACAGAGATCTACCTGCCTCTGCCTCCCGAGTGCTGGGATTAAAGGCGTGCGCCACCACCGCCCGGCCGAAAGCCATTTTCTAACAATACCAATATACTCCTATGTTTGCTCTACTCACAATACACAGAGTTCAAGAACTACTAAGCCAGTTCTACCATAAATGTGGATTATACTATATATTTGGTGCAAAAGAAGGCCACTTATTTCTACTATATTTTACTTTTATTGTTCCTCTTTGCTAATTTAATAGTATAAAAGTCAAGTGTGCTGCATGTAGTAGCATGTACCTTAAATCCTAGCACTCAGGAGGCAGAAGCAAGCAAATCTTTGTGAATCTCAGGCCAACCTGGTTGACTACCGAGTTTCAGGCCAATCAGGGTGATATAGCAAAAAACAAAGACAAAAGTCATGTGTATATGTTCTCTGTATCATGTATACATGCACTAAAATTATAAAGCCTGTTTAACTGAACTTCTGAGCATTTCTTTTTATTTCAAATAATGTTTTCTGCCTTAACGTCTCATCATAACAAAGCTAAATGAGATGAATTTACATGACTATGTTCATCTGACCAATGGTTGCTGCCAGCCTGTCTGCAGTACTGCTGGGGGCCGTTAAGTGCTTGTACACTTGGTTACCTTACCAATCCCTGGCATCTATTTCTTCATAAGTAGAAATTTCCAATGATCACACCATATATTCCAAGTTGCATATGAACTTACTTATAAACTCCCAGTATTTTTTATAGTCAGCTGGAAATTTTCGTAAATGCAAATGATAGAAATTCTGTTTATTTGGAGAGTTGAACCATTCCTGTGCCACCTACACAAAGCAAAAAGAAAGAAAGAACATGCTGAAAGCCACTTCACACAGCAAACTGAGCTACATGGGAAATAGAACAGAATCCCAAATGAAAGCCTAAAAAAATCAGTTTGTGTGGTTTAATGAAATTGTTTAAAACTGACCTGTTCAATTCAATCATTAGCCACATTTAGTTGTAATTGTTAATTGAACTTCTAAAGACTAAAAATACAGCCGGGTGTTGGTGGCGCACGCCTTTAATCCCAGCACTCGGGAGGCAGAGGCAGGCGGATCTCTGTGAGTTCGAGGCCAGCCTGGTCTACAGAGTGAGTTCCAGGACAGCCTCCAAAACAATACAGAGAAACCCTGTCTCGAAAAACCAAAAAAAAAAAAAAAAAAAAAAAAAAGACTAAAAATACTATTCCTAGGGTTGAAATAGACAGTTTTTCATGTTCAGTGATCACCTATAGCCCTGATAATGATCACTGCAGAAGTATCAGCTGCTGCTAGATCTTGCTGGAAGCAAATACTTCACAATGAGACCATTTGTCCAACATTTTCTCAATCTCTGGGAATTTGCACAAGCATTGTTCCTGTCAGTTTCTATATACCTACCAGTCTTCCAAAGTCTCAAGTCAAACTCAGAAGTATATGCAATCTTTGGCAATCCTAAGCCCAAATTTACAAAAGAAACTGCTAGTATAAAAGGCTTACACTTTAAAAAAATCACTTTCAGGACCTTAAGAAGAGTTTTATTTTATAGTAAAATTTTTACTTAAGTAGCTAAATTGCAACTGCCCTTCAATTCCTCGAATATTGTTCATCAGTGAGTCCTGGTGCTGAACTGCTTCTGCCCAAGGTCAACCAAATAGTCACTCCTCAGAGAAGTGACAGCCCACTCTCGCACTATCCATCACTTCTGGCTAGAAACATGCGCTTTCCTGCCACGTGCTGCTCCAGCCCAGAAATGAGGGAAGAGGCAAACTCAAGAGGCTCTTCCCCACTCCTGGAGAGTAGACATTACTCAAGAGTCATCTTTTCAATTTCCCCTAGTAAGTCATATATTCTAAAATTTATCTATAGCCTTTCCATCTCAATTACTACCCAAACAAAGCCACCATTATTCTCTCCCCAAGTTGCCGGAACCACCTGTAACTGGTCTACTGGATCCTAAGCCCTTCTAGCACTCGTTCTCTACTCAACAACCAAGGTTGTGTGAGAAATAAACTAGTGTGCATCATTACTCCCTGGTCTAAATACTGACCAACTCAAAGCCCTCCCATATCTTTTCACTCAAGTACAGATTCAAACAGAAGTTTATGGAACTATATGCTCATGAGCATTTCTCTAATCTTTACCTACGAAAGGGGCAAAGAATTAAAGCATACTTACTGTTTCAAAAGCATTCAATATAATCAAAGGAAGAAAAACATTAAAATACTCTGCACAATCTTGAAATCTGACGGGCACGGGTCTTGAGATAGATTGAGAGAGACTTGTTGGGGCGCCACATTTATCAAAGTTCAAAAACATTTGGTATTTCCATTTTAAGACCTCTTTAATGAAGGTGTCAAAGATAGACTGTGATGGCAAGTGAATGTTCACTGAAGAGGAAGCTGTCACAGGCTTGCTGTCACTAAGTGTAAGCTTGTAACTCTGTTTATTGGAACTGCTCGGAGTCTGAAAATTGAAAATATTGCATAAACTTTTCACCTCAGCCACTGGCTTCGACACTACGGAAGAGGGTGGTGTCACCTTCAAATTAGGCTGTACCCCACTTGACTTATTTTTTAGTGCTGACTGAAGAATGGTACTTTCCAAAGACTTGGAAAGATTGGCAGTTCGTGAAGCACTGCTTGAGCTAAATATCTTGGTAGTAGTAGGTCTCAAGGACCTGGCAACAGAAAGAGGTAAGCCAGGTTTACGAAACACATCATCATCTGCAGCTTTAGCTTCAGAGTGTCTTGGGCAGAATTCACTCTGGTTCTTTGTAGTTTCAACACAGTCTTTATACTTACATTTTGTGACACTCAAAGACTCCAGCTGAGGCTGACTTACAGAATCCTCTCTCTGAATAGCATCTTTATGAGTCACTACAATCGGTTTATTATTTTCCATCTGTGAGCACAGATCCATATCTTGAGGATCATGCTGTGTTAGGAATAAATTGTCATCATCTGTATCGCTACTGGATTCTGGTTCTGCAGCTTTCACAGCTGCCACCTCCGCAACTGGCAGTGTGGGACCATCTTCACCCACAGGGTCCTCTGAAGCCAATAACATCACATCTGTTGGCACTCCTCCACTTAACACTCTAGACTCACACTGGTTCACAAGAGAAGCTATATCAGTCACCCGAGGGTCGGAAATGGCTTCTGCCACTTCTGGTTTGGAAGGTATGCATTTTGCTAATTGCTTTTCATTACTGTTGGCAGGTAGCTCACTTCCTCTATGATTATCTGGCCCATCAGAGTCAGTTACAGGTACATAAGAATCCTGTACTGTGCATGGCACTGTTCTCGAAATATCAGTATTTTTGTAATCAAGGTCTCGTTTTTTATGTGATCTGGATCTCATGAGCCTTTGAAACTGAAGATCCTGACTTGTTAGCAGCTTCTTATTTTTGATGGAAAGAGTCTGAGGAGCAATTAGTTTAGTCTTTTTGGGGGCATTGACTACTCCAACAGTCTTACCATGGTCACGTAATTGGACTATACACTCCAGAGACCTCTGGGACAACTCAAATGCCTTCCGAGGAGCTTTTTTCAGACCAAGTTTTTCAACTGTTGAAGTTGGCTCTGGACACTGACGATATTTCTTTGGTGGCACAATAGCAGGAGATGTTCTACAACTGATGTAACATGAACTCTTTGTCTGTCCTCTCTTGGTTTCTGAATGCGTTTTCTTAGTAGCCTTAGAAGCTGGAACTTTCCTAACAGGTTTTGAGTGAGTACGAGGTTTTGTAGACTTGATCGGTGAAACTGTAGAATCTCTCTCAACATTTGAACTGGAAGCTGATATCCGTGTGTCTATTCCAGCAAGATCTCTGTCATCAGCCAATTGCTCAGGTCTGACAGAAGATGAAGGTCTTTGGGGATCTTCAGCTGTAACTCTGTCACATCGTTTTCTCTTACGTTTTTTTTCTTCAATTTTACAAAATTCCTCAGCAGAAACACTGTGTGGTTCTGCATGCTCTTCAGCATCCTCTGCTTCATTTCTAGCAACTTCTTCAGACACAGAGTCTGCACCACAACCCAAATTATTGATTGTACTATCAGCTACATGAGTTACACAGCTTTTTCCTTCCTCTTGAAAGAAGTTCTTGATGTCTACGTTATGATCTTGCCAAACTGAATACACTTCAGAAGAACTTTCAAACTCAAAAACCTGAGATTCAGAGTCCTCAAATTCAACAGGGCACTTTGCCTCTTCCTTTATAAGTTTCCTTTCCACACCAGTGTTAATTACCAAACCATGCTGCTCTGGACATTCTTGCCCTGTGCACACTTTGCCCTGCTTGGTGTATTTCTCAATACCATGACTTCTTTCATCATCATCTTCATCAGAATCTGAAATAACAATAACCTGCCCATGGCAGGTGTCAGCAGTGTTTTGGTTAACTGTCAAACATCTTCTATCATCTTTTCTTTTTAGCTGGGATGAATTTTTACTTGAACCTGTTGGAAATTGAATAACAGTGCTTTGAGCTATTAAAGCTTTGTTACAGAAGTCCATTTGAGAACCTGTTACCAAAGGCTTGCTACTGCCATGAGGTACCTGTCCTTTTACCAAGTTAGAAGTCAGCACTGTACTCTTTCTCATTTCCTTATCTCTGGATTCAACAACCTTCACGGGACCCTCACATGAAGTTTTCTTTACAAATGTATTGGTAACTTCTGTAAATGATAGCAAATCATCAGTAGCATGGTGTTCCTGGATTTGACACTTGTTTTCATCAGAATTGAATGACTCCTCACTTTTTAACTCTTTATTTTTTAACAATGAACTGTTTTCAGAATTTTGCTCTGTGTGTTCATCATCCAAAACAGAGTCTGAAGACACATCATGTGTGATAGCATCTTCCTTTAGAACTCCTCTATCTTTTCCTGAACAGTTCTCAAGTTCAGACATAGCTGTATTTTCCTCTAGATTGATAGTGTTATTGATCAAAGTACTTTTCCTGTGTTGCTGCTTTATGACATGTGATAACCTTGCACAAATTTCATCTTTCTGTGCTTTAGACTTTGGCTTTGAGTTTTTACCAACAGTGTCATCCTTTAATGAGACATCTTCATTTGATGTAGATACTTTTCCCAGAGAATCAGTGTTAGAATCAGTCAATGAACGTGTTGATATTATTACTCCTCTGTCACATCCCCATTCTGGGACATTTCTTAAAGTATTATTCTGTGGTGTACATGAAGAGTTTTCTTTTACAGACTTCTCTGTACTTATTTTAACTTGCTCTTGAGCATTTCCAGAAAAAAAAGCCTCACTCTCCTGCTTCAAGCATAGTTCAGCTGGAAGAGGCTCCTCTTCTTCGAGATTCAAATCAATGTAGTGCTGTTTGACACCCACCTCTTCTGTATTATCTGCGTTAATCAGTACTTGATTGCTATCATCTTTCATTGGTTCTTTAGAATATGTGGGGCTGTAATTTTCCAGGCAATAAATGTCCTTTTTAGGCTTCCTATCTATTTGTTCACTTTCTTCTTTAAAAGATGGAAGAGTTTTACATGCAGAAGTCAGATCCCCAAAAGTGCTATATTGGGGCATTTTTGATTTTATGTTTCTAATTATTTGTTTCAAGCACATTTGTAACTCATGGGTTTCTTGGGCAGTCAACTGCCAACCCAGAGATAAATTTCCTCGAAGGAATAAGTTAAGTTTATCCCAAAATCGTTTACAAAGTGTTTGCTGACCAAGCTGATAACCTTCTTTTAGGAGACCCCTAATCAACTGAACACAAGCAAGCTGGACAGAGTTTGAGGGCACTGAATGCAACGCCAATGATGATATTATTGCTGCTCCCTTTGGGGTACTTCCAGGTGACTTTTCAGAACTCCGTGCAAATGCAGTAGTAGGAAGCTTCGCACACTTCACAACAGCGTCTACCCATTGCTGAGAACTCACCCATAGCAGGTGTAAACACTTTTTATTTCTATGCAGTTCAATCACGGATATTAAAATCAGAATAAAAAATTCAGTGACTTTGTCACACACAGCATTTGTCTGGTTGAGGACATCTTTGACTTCAGAGTACAGATGATGAATAACTTCTACAATGTAAGCTACACCCAAATCCTTAAGATCCATGAGTGACTGAACAAAAGGTATGAACCACAGAAAGGTACTGTTATGAACACGCATATCTTGACCAATATCGGACTGAAGCACATTGGCTAATGTTTCCATTTCTTCATACATGTTAGGACAATAATCTGGACAAATGGCTGATCTCCACCCTGAATCCTAAAATGAAAAAATAATCGTCATTCAGATAAGCAAGTGTCATGGTAATTAACTGTAGAAAAGGAATACACTCTGCAGCTTTACTCTCCTGGGCTACTATATATGTAACTTGAATTATAAAACTGTTTTAAAAAATCCAAAATCATACCTTCACATACTTCAGCTTTCCTATCATCTGGCTTGATTACTACTACTTTTACCAAAGTATTTCACTGTGGTAAAAAGTACATGTTCCCCATGTGAAATGTATCAGTCCCACCAGAGAGCCTTTATAGAATAGTGGATTCATACTAGCTACACATCACAGAGTCAGCACTCAGTCACTAACAAAACACTGTCTCTACAGTGTCATTTCAACTTTTAAAATGTTATATACCTTTTTAGTCTTTTCAGGATTATAGTTATAGACAATCTGGCTGCATGTCACCATATCATCAAAATGTGGCTCCGGTTCTAACTTGGTCCTTAAATATCAAGAATAAATAGAAGTTACTGAAATGAAGGTTGAAAGAAAAAGAGGAAAAAAGGTCTCCTTTGGTAAATCAATTACAATGTGTTATTTTTAAATTCTGACATATAACCAACCTTATAGAGCTGTTCCGTATATTTTGGATCTCTCTGTTGTAGCTCACATTGTTAATGATGGTTTGAAATGCTTCAATAGGGTCAATAAGTTGACCCCACACCTTAGATCCAAGGCGATCCAGAATCACCATGAAACAGTGTAATGCTGGCCAGAAAGGATTCATGCTGTCATCTAAAAGAAAATGCAGCAATTTCTAAAATGAAGTCTAAAGGGGTCCTTAGCAATTTAAAGTCTTAAATCTGTAACCTAACTACATTAAGTCCTGGTCCATACTTCCTCAACATGCCTGAGGCCCTAAGTTTTTCCTCCACACTCTTACAACCCTAGCTTGCAGTGACACCAACCCCTCTGTTCCCCCTCCGAGACACACACACCACTCTGAGACAGGGTTTCTCTGTGTAACAGGCTATCCTGGAACTCACTCTGTACACCAAGCTGCCTCCAACTCACAAAGATCCAACTGCCTCTGCCTCCCAAGTGCTAGAATTAAAAAGTTTGTGCTGCCACCACCACCAGGCAGTTGCCAACATTTTTAAAAAGTACACCATCATAGTATTCAAAAGCATTTAGCAAGTATATTACCATCTGATTGCCTCTCCATGGTGTGAAGGATTGATTGCATAAAATCATTTTGTTTATCTGAGCCCAATAACAGTGAATCCATGGCTTGCTCCTCAAGAATAGTCAGCAACATGCAAATACCTGTAAAATTATTTCAGTTTACTAAGCAGATGAAATAATAAGACTATGCTAAATTTTTCTAAGCAGACAGAAAGAAAGCAAGGCAGAAAGTCAAAGCAGAACAGAATCCAGCTCCCATCTGCCTGCCCTGCTTCACGCATCACCCCTCAATAATAGAGCTGGACACCTTTTCTAGTGTAAAACAGGTAGTTGGTGCTAGGCAGGGTAGAAGATGATTTCGAACACTACTACCACACAACTTGTAATTCACAAAACCTAAGAAGCCACAAACATTCACATGTGCTGTATACAGGTCACATACCACTAAAAAGAAAACCGCTACCGAACTACAACACATAACTTTAAAGGACTCAATTAATGAAATAGTGATTTACAAGCAATGATAGCTTCTCTCACCACCTGAAAATATTTACACCATTAAAAAAAAAAAAAAGAGGTAATCACCATCACATGGACATTTCTACTTCAAAAGATTCACTTGCCAGGGTTTGAAAATATACCTGTTTGGAAGGTATCTAGAATAAATAATGTTTAATGATATATAAAATAGTTACGATAATTTAGCAAGGGAACAAGTACTGGGAACCAAGAAATCTTGTAATAAGGAAATTGCTCAGAGATTGCTCTGTGCTCAGAACACTAGGGAAGACATATCTGTGTAGGAACAATACTCACCTAGCCAGTAGTTTTTGTAGTTGGTAGTATCATACATGTGTGCAGGCAGAAGGATCAGTTTGCCTTTTTCAAGCACAGAAGACGTGTAAATGTCTGGGCTTTCCAAAAGCCCCAACTCAATGACTTTAAAAAGGCAAGTTAAAACTTCCTGTAAGTCGTAATAGTCATCCCTGTCCACTTTCCCTAGGTTTCTTGCAGTCAGAATAGCCCATCGCCGAATCTAAATAATAATTATAAGTATTATAAGTAACATTGTATGTTCATTAATTAATTCAATGAACAATGATCTACACTGAGGAACATAAGATATAATACAGATTTCAGAAGACATCAAAAGATTATAACTGCAATGTATGAACCTTCTTTGATCCTGATTCAAATAATGAAACAATTATTTTCATTCATTAAACACTAGAAGGAATCCATCCTGTGTACCTTTTTTTATTTATGTTAAGTATTTGGTAATTCTTTTTCCATCCACCCCATCAATTTTGTATGTTCCCTTATGCTTTATTTTAGGTATGTCTATTAGAAGCAATCTATTTAGACTTCTGTAAGACAATTTTTTTTGGGGGGGTGCATTCAAGACAAGGTTTCTCTGTGTAGCTTTGGCTGTACTGGAACTCACTCTGTTGACCCAGTTAGCCTAGAACTCACAGAGATCTGCCTGCCCCTGCCTCCTAACTCCTGGGATTAAAGGTGTGCACCACTATGCCCAGCAGTATGCTCTTTCTTTGCTGGAGGTTTAAAAAACATCTTTTCTTGCCATATCTTGGCAGAACAGATTTTCTCAGTGATTGCCTTAAGAATGACTCCATCTTCCAGGTGATGGCAGCACACGCCTTTAATACCAGTGTTCGGGAAGCAGAGGAAGGCAGATCTCTTTGAGTTCAAAACCAGCCTGGTCTACAGAGTGACAGCCAAGGTTACAGAGAGAACCCCTGTCTCAAAAAACCAAAAACTGACTCCACTAAAAACCCTGTCTCAAAAGTGGGAAAAAGTGACTCCATTCTAAATGCTAGTGTGCATGGAACTGTATATGTGTGTAGGCTACCTCACTTCATGGTAGGCTATGTCCCATTTCCTTGCTTACGGGTAATCTGTTTATTCTTAATTTGATGTTTTTCTTCATCTCTAGCACCTACAAACTTTTCTTGTACTGCCTATCCCCTATAATTCCACCCCCTTCAATCTTATTAGCAAAATTAGTATTTCAAATGACATTTCCATGTATTTAGCAACTAAGCAAGGAAAGCAAGAACGTTCATTAGTTCAGTTTAACACTATGCTGGTTAATTTTGTCAACTTGACACAAACATGGATATATCTGGAAAGAGGGACTCTTAATTTTAAAAAGGCTGGCCTGTAGGTAAATCGAAAGGGTACTGTCTTAATGATTGAAATGGGAGGACCTAGCCCAATAAGGATGGTGTCTCTTATCCCCTGGGCAGATAGATGGTCCTGGGTTATACAAGAAAATAGGCTGAGCAAGCCAGTAAGCAACATTCCTTCATGGTATCTACTTCAGTTCCTACCTCCAGGTTCCTGTCTTGAGTTCCTGCCCTGATTTCCTTTGCTGAACTACAATGTGATAGTATATGATGAAATAAAACCTTTCCTTCCAAAGTTGCTTTGGTCACTGTTTTATCACAGCACCAGAAACCCTGACTATGGCAGAAACGTTGGGGGGAGGGGGATCAAGCTACTTCCCCCCACCCCCTGTTTTTTTGAGACAGGGTTTCTCTGTGTATCAGCCCTAGGAGCTGTCCTGGAACTTGCTCTGTAGACCAGGCTGGCCTCAAACTCAAGAGTTTGCCCGCCTCTGCCTGCCAAATGCTAGAATTAAAAGTGTGAGCCAACACCATCTGGCCCTTTCTTGTCTTTTAAATTCAAGTATCACCCATCAGTCAGTGTTCCCCTGTCCTTTTAAATTCACAACGCTCCCAACCATTAAACATTCTACTTAAATGTATAACTTTAAAAAAATGAAAAATTGCCGGGCGTTGGTGGCGCACGCTTTTAATCCCAGCACTTGGGAGGCAGAGGCAGGCGGATCTCTGTGAGTTCGAGGCCAGCCTGGTCTACAAGAGCTAGTTCCAGGACAGCCTCCAAAGCCACAGAGAAACCCTGTCTCGAAAAACAAAAACAAAAACAAAAAAAAAAAAAAAAAAGTGAAAAATTTTAACCAATATATTAAACAAAAATACACAATAAGGTTGTATATTAAAACTATCTAATAAGGCTGGAGAGGTGGCTCAGCAGTTAGGAGCACTGGCTCACAACCATCTGTAATGAGATCTGGTACCCTCTTCTGGCCTGCAGACATATATGTGCAGACAGAACACTGTACATGAAAAATAAAACTACCTAATACATACAAAGTAATGTCATTACTAGCATTGCCGACTACTCATACATACCATTTCATTGGGATGAACCAAAAACAAATAGATCCCTGGATATTTGTCAAAAACCTGAAAGGAGCAACTGGTTTGTTCCATTCGACAAAGTGCTTCCACACACAGTTCATCTAAATAGGAAAAAAAAAAGAGTAAAGGATTTAAATTGAACCACTGCTCAAGAGGCCCTAAAAACTGGCTCCTTGGTTATTTTATAAACAAAAGTTACTCATTTTTTGAAACTAAGGCATTAAAAATGCTGATGGTGGGACTGGAGAGATGGCTCAGTGTCTAAGGGCACGGATGCTCTTCCAGAGGTCGAATTCCTTTTCAGAAACCACATAATGGCTCACAACCACCTATAACTAGATCTGGTGCCCTATTTCTGGCATGCAGGCATATATGCAGATAGAGCACTCAAATAAATAAAAAAATAAATATTTTAAATAACAGCAACCCTGGGATGGAGAGATGGCGCAGAGGTAAAGAGCACTAACTGGTCTTCCAGAGGTCATGGGTTCAATTCCCAGCAACTACATGGTGACTCATAACCATCTGTAATGAGATTTGGTGCCCTCATCTGGAGTGTAGGATTACAGACCAGAATACTGTATATATAATAAAATCTTAAAAAAACAAAAAAAAGGGACTGGGAGATGACTCAATAGTTAAGAGCACTGGTTGCTCTTTCAGAGGACCTGTGTTCAATTCCCAGCACCCACATGGCAGCTCACAACTGTCTGTAATCCCAGTTCCAAGGGATCCAACACCCTCATACAGGCAAACCAATGTGCATGAAATAAAAAATCATTAAAAAAAAAAAGAGCCACAAAAAAAGACAAAAAAGAAACAAACAAACAACAACAAAAGAAAACAACCCCGGGATGATATGAATGATATGAGAGACTTTGGAGATTCCTCATAAAGGGCCTCACCCTCCCTGGGGATCAGTGGGGATTGGGTGGGGGATTAGGGAGGGGATGGGAGAAGAGGAGACTGAGAGGGATCTGGGATTGACATGTGAAGCAAGCTTGTTCCTAAATTTAAAAAAACATGATAATGGTGTAATTATTGGAACAGCATTTGACTACTGATAAGACTTTTTTTTTTGAGGTACCAGAAACCAAACCCAGTTCCTGAGGTATGCCAAGTAAACATACTAAGTTATATCCCAGTTCTGATGACTGTTCATTGTGATCATGCATGGAATATTCCTCTTATTCTAAATTTACTAAAACACGAGGCTGAAGAGATAGTTCAGGGATTAAAAGCACTAGAAGTTCTTCCAGAAGACCCAAATGACCCAAGATCAATTCTCAGCACCCACATTGCAGCTAACAACTATAACTCTAGTTGCAGGGGATCCGACACCCTTACACAGATATACATGCAAACACCAATGCACATAAAATAAAATCTACTAGAACATATATATATTTTGTGTAATTATCTCCAAAGAATATCTTAGAAGTATGGTTATAGGATTAGTGTCTTGCATTTGATATTTGGCTCACATGGACTAGAGTAAGAAAGCTTTTCTTCCTGATGGGTAATCATCTAAATTTGATGAATTAACTTCCTCTAGTAGTTTTTTTGTTTTTTGTTTTGGTTTTTTTCGAGACAGGGTTTTTCTCTGTATTGTTTTAGAGGCTGTCCTGGAACTCGCTCTGTAGACCAGGCTGGCCTCGAACTCACAGAGATCCACCTGCCTCTGCCTCCCAAGTGCTGGGATTAAAGGTGTGTACCACCACCACCCAGCCCTCTAGTAGTTTTTTTTTTTTTTTAAGATTTATTTATTTATTACATGTAAACCAGATTGAATTGTAGGTGGTTGTGAGCCACCATGTGGTTGCTGGGAATTGAACTTAGGACCTTTGGAAGAGCAGTCAGTGCTCTTAACCTCTGAGCCATCTCTCCAGCCCCCCCTCCTCTAGTAGTTTTTAAAGTCAATTTTAAATTTTAATTTGTCACATTTCAAAAAATAGTATGCTAGCAATAATAGTTTTGGAGGGGAAATTATGACTGAGTCAGCTTACAGGAAACTCCTACAAGACTAGTAATATACACAAGTATAAGTAATCTTCATTTTTATATACTTTTATGGGTTTTTAAAAATCATTTAAAAGTACTTTATGTGTGGGCCTGGAGAGATGGCTCAGCAGTTATGAGCACTGGCTATTCTTTCGGAAGTCCCAGGTTTAATTCCCAGCATACACATGGCAGCACACATCTGTCTTTAACTCTAGTTACAGGGGACCCAACTCCCTCACAAACATATATGCAGGCAAAATACCAACGTACATAAAATTTTAAAAACTACAAAAACCTTTTTATGAATATTTTACCTGTATGCATGTTTGTATACCACCTGCCTACCCTGTGCCCAGATCAGAAGGGGTTGGGGATCAGATCCCCTGGATCTGGAGTTACTGATAGTTGTGAGCTGCATGAGTGCTGGAAACTGAATCTTGGGTCCTCTGTAAGAGCAGCAAGAGCATTAACTGCTGGACCACCTCTCCAGTCCTGCTTATTAGGGGTGCATTAGTCTTTAATAAATGGTTAAGGGGCTGACTGTTGACTCAGCTATTAAGAGCATTGACTACTCACTCTTCCAGAGGACCTGGAATCTAACTCTAAGCACCCACAATGTTGGCTCACAACCATCTTTAACTCCAGTTCCAAAGGATCTAACATCCTCTTCTGGCTTCCCTGGGTACTTACACATTATGTGGCACATCAATACATACACAGGCAATAATATAAGAAATAGTAACTGAAAATGCCCCCCCAATGGAGGCTTTTTGATTTTTGGTTTTTTGAAAATATGTACGGGGGTTTTAGTTTAAAATCTAGTTAACTAGAAATTAGTAATTTATCTAATCAAAAGCAGAGCTTGATGGCACAGGCCTATGATTCCAGCACTCCAAGAGGCAGGTGAATCTCCCTAAGTCAGGTGCCAGAATGGTCTATATGGTGAGGACTAGCACAGTCAAAGACACAAAGAGAGACCCTCTCAAAAAGACAGCTTTATCTAATCAAATATTTGTATTTACAGAGGACACAAAATAAAATATGCATAAAGTGTTATATTTATTGGGTAACTATATGGTCTCAAGTAACATGGCAAAAAAAAAAAGGGGGCCTGGTGACATAAGCCTATAATCCCAGCTACTGGGGAGACTGAGGTAAAAGGATCAAAAATTCAAACCCTGCCTAGGCTACAGAGTGAATTCAAGGCCAGTCTGGGGCAACTTAATAAGATGCTGTTTCAAAATCAACAATACTTGGCAGGTTAGGAATATAGAGAGTACTTGCCTAAAGTATGCATAATCCTGGATTCAATCCCCAATACCACACCACCCAAAAAATAATAAATGTATGTGTGTAAGTGAACTATTTTGGATTAGGAAAATAAATACCACCAAATTCAATGTGCTGTCCCTAGTCACTCTCAAACGAATCTGCCCCAGCCGGGCGCTGGTGGCGCAAGCCTTTAATCCCAGCACTCAGGAGGCAGAGGCAGGAGGATCTCTGTGAGTTCGAGATTAGCCTGGTCTACAAAAGCTAGTTCCAGGACTGCCTCCAATGCCACAGAGAAACCCTGTCTCGAAAAAACAAAAACAAAAAACAAAAACAAAAAAACCGAATCTGCCCCAAACCACATTTTTTTTTTGGTTTTACAAGACAGGGTTTCTCTGTATTATTTTGGAGGCTGTCGGTCCAGCCTAGCCTCGAACTCACAGAGATCCGCCTGCCTCTGCCTCCCGAGTGCTGGGATTAAAGGCGTGGGCCACCATCGCCCAGCTCCTAAACCACATTTGTAACAACTGAGAATATATGGGCTAGATGCTAGATGTCCTAAGGTGCTGGTTAAGTATGTTGGCCCACACTTCTCATCCCAACTCAGGAGGCTAAGCTAGGACTTTGATTTCAAAGTCATCCTGGACTGAGATTCATAGCAAGAAATGAAAATATAAGACCCAAACTAGAACCACCACAACATGCCATGCTGGCTAATTAATGAAAATTCCTACAGACCAGTTGTGTGGTTGGTTTTCTGTTTGTTTTGAGAAGGTCTCATATATCCCAGGCTGGCCTGGAACCAAAGAAGACATTCCTGCTTTCACCTTCCTAGGAATGGCAATTCAGGTATATACCACAGCTGGTCAGAGCAGCGATTTTCAACCTGAGAGTCTCCACCCATTGAGGTGTCACATATCAGATATCCTATATATCAAATATTTCTATTAGGATTCATAATAGTAGTACAATTACACTTATGAAGTAACAACAAAATAAGTTCATGGTTGGGGGTCACCATAACATGAGGAACTGCATTAGGTCAAAGCATTAGGAAAATTGAGAACCACTGGGTTACAGGCCACTGGTTTTCAGAGCTGTTTTGCCCCTCCCCTCTCAAAAAGGAGCATTCAACAATATGTGGAAACATTTTTGGTTGTGACAATAACAAGCTAGGGGAAGAGAAGAACCCTGGCATGTAGTGGACAGAGGCTAGGTCTATTACTAACAATCACATAATGAACAGCAGAGTCCTGTGGAGAACAGAAAGTCCTGTGGTCTAAAGAGTCTATATTGCTGCTGGGCAGTGGTGGCCCATTCCTTCAATCTCAGCACTCAGAGGCACAGACAAAGAAACCTGGTGGGGTGGGATGAGGTTGGGTGGGGGGAGATACTCACTAACACGCTCATGCAGAAGCAAGTAAGGGTACTTCAGTATTTCAAAAAGAGGAACTCGAAGCTTATTTTCAAAGTCTTGGCCACTACAGTCAAATAGCTGTTCTTCTCCATTGTTGTCTACTATATATAATTCATCATCTTCAACTTCTGCCTTCATAGACTTCTCAAAGTGATTTATGAGGCGTGAGGTTTCTAGTTCCCATAAAACCTATAGAAAGATGAAAACAGTGGTTTTTATCTTAATAAAATATGCTGTGTGTGATAATCATTCCTGTAGAAGGCCTTTTTCCTCTATGTATGAAAATTTGAAACATCCCTTTTATCCCAGCACTCTGGAAGGCAGAGGCAGGCAGATCTCTGAGTTCAAGACCAGCCTGGTCTGCAGAGCTAGTTCCAGGATAACCAGGGCTACACAGAGAAATCCTGTCTCAAAAAAGCAAAAACAGGGGCTGGAGAGATGGCTCAGAGGTTAAGAGCACTGACTGCTCTTCCAGGGGTCCTGAGTTCAATTCCCAGCAACTACATGGTGGCTCACAACCATCTACAATTCAATCTGGTGTCCTCTTCTGGCATGTAGGCAGAACACTGTATATGTAATAAATAAACAAATCTAAAAAAAAAAAGCAAAAACAAACAAAAAAATTACAAGTTTAAAGTAGCAGCTCTCGGGCTGGAGAGATGGCTCAGACATATGTTGGCTTACAACCATCTATACTGAGATCTGGTGCCTTCTTCTGGTGTCCAAGACTAAATGCTCTATACATAATAAATAAATCTTTAAAAAAGAATAAAGTAGCAGCTCTCACATATCATATATACACAGACATAACTTGGAACTAGAGGTTCAATTTCTACACTTTCAACAAAATGAACACAGATAAATGAGTTTCATCCAGTTTGGCTTCCCAACACATGTAAAATTGTTTACATGATTTCAGCCCGAAAGTATTAAACACATGTAAAGAGAAGCCTTCCCGCCAGCCTGGTTCCAGAGCCGCATCAGTCCCAAATGAACACACAGGAGGCTATATTAATTATGAAGCTGTTGGCCTTGCTTGTTTCTTACTGGCTAACTCTGACTTAAGTATTTACCCCATAATTGTTAATCTAAGTATTACCGGAGAAATTTCTGGGCTTCCTACCCCATGGGGGTTACATCTTGACTCCCTGTGTTTCTCCTACCCAGAGTCCTCCTGGACTCCTAGTCCCACCTATCTTGTTTCCCCATTGGCCAACAGTGATTTATTGACATATACACAGGACTTCCCCAACACACACACACCTAAATTTAGTTTAAAAAATAAAAACAGTTCAAAGGCTGCGATGTAACTCAGCTATTAGGATGCTCCCCTTAGCAGGCATGAGAATCCTGTTACATCCCCAGCATAGATAGACTGGGAGAGCACAGTCCTGCAATCCAAACACTGGAAAGGTAGAGGCAAGAGTACCAGAAGCTAATGGTCATCATCAGCTGCACAGAGTTTGAAGGCAGTGTGAGCTAGACACCCTGTCTCAAATAAGAAAAGCTTTTCCTTGGCATCCATAACTTTGCTATACAAGTTGGTAATAAAGGCTTAACTTTTAGCATGTCATGGCTTTCACCATGTCTTCCTCACTAAGCACACCTAGCTTCTGCCTAAGAGATATGTTATTTTTCCTTTTATTTGACCACTTCAGGTCACTGTAGGTGACCTAATTTCAAAACTGTTATCTCAGGAACTAAGGTAGCCTAAGGAGAGGGAAAAGAGACAGGAAATGTCCTGTCAATAAAGCAGGTAGAATTCACACAATTACCGATCAGAGTACTGACTGCCTTACATAGTATGATTCAGGCCCTCCAAACAGTTACAATAGAACATCAGTAACCAGTGATCACAAATCACCAGAACATATGACAATGAAAATGTTCAAAACAGGATAATTACAAAAAGAGGATGTGAGTCCATGCTCCTAGAAAAGTGGCACTGATAAAAATTATTCAAAGCAAGATTATAAAACCTTCAACTTGTAAAAACACAGTACAGTGAATCTAAACCAAACAAGATGTACCTATATGAATTTTTTAAAGCCCCTAAACATGGCCCTTTATAATAAAGCCTGAGTACTAAGAATGAGAGACTTATACATTACCCTGCTGTCTTGCTACACACATCAAAATAAATCTGCTATATTCAGATATATAAACTATAAGCTATTCCAAACTAAATGAGAAGCAGCTAGTGCTGCTTTGCCAAAGGCATCATGTCCTGTGCATGCCTAAAACAACAGTAGTCAGAAGATAAAGACAAGTAGATCAGAAGTTCAAGGTCATTGTTTGCTACGAATATGAAGCCAGTCTTGTCTCAAGGGATGTGGGGGGTACTTTACCCTAAATATAAGTTTATGCATAAAGACATTGGATAATTACAGCACAAAAATTAAGGATAGGGAGATGCTCAGTATTGAAGTGCCTTTTTTGCAAGCTTGACGACCTGAATTCAGATTCCCAACACTTAAAAAGCTGGGTACACAAGCATGTGTCTGTAATCCAAGTGCCAGGATGAGACGTGGACTCATGAAGCTTGCTGCTAGCCAGTCTACCAAAATTATTCAGTATTAGATCCTGTCTCAAAATATAAGGTGGAAGCCGGGCGGTGGTGGCGCACGCCTTTAATCCCAGCACTCGGGAGGCAGAGGCAGGCGGACCTCTGTGAGTTCGAGGCTAGGCTGGACCGACAGCCTCCAAAATAATACAGAGAAACCCTGTCTCGTAAAACAAAACAAAAAAAAATATATATATATACATATATATATGGTAGCGCTCAAACAAGGAAGACATCCAACACCAATCTCTGGCTTACACATGTACACATATAAACAGAGAGACATATATATATCACACACATCAAAAGCAATTCCCCATCTATGGTACATCTACTATCTGTTCGTCATCAGAAAAATGTAATAAACTTAACATGCTTGCCTTTAGAGTTTATAAGCATCTCACTAAAAAAAAAACAAGCATTTTTACTTCTTAGAAACAAGGTCTCACTAGGTAATCCAGGTTGGCCTACAACTTGCAATTATCCTGCCCTACTTCCTGAGCACTAGAAATAAATCTTTAAAAAAAATTATCTTTTAGGTATACAGTGCTCTGTCTGCATGTTATCTTAGAAACAGGGTCTCACTAGGTAAGCCAGGTTGGCCTACAACTTGCAATTATCCTGCCCTACTTCCTGACCACTAGAAATAAATCTTAAAAAAAAAAATTATCTATTAGGTATACAGTACTCTGTCTGCATGAATCATACAGGCCAGAAGAGGGCACCAGATCTCATTATAGATAGTAGTGATCCACCATGTGGTTGTTGGGAGTTGAACTCAGGACCTCTGGAAGAAAGTCAATGTCTTAAACTCTGAGCCATCTCTCCAGCCCAGAAATAACAAATTTTTTTTTAAACATTTTATACCAAAATAACTACAACTGACATAAACCTGTACTTTTGTCCATCAGTAAGTATTAATAGGAGCCATTATGTACTGGGAAGTTAGATACTAGAGTTGTACTAGATTTTAAAGCTTAAGTCATATAGCACCATTTCCCCGAATGCTTTTGACAGCTACTCTTACTTAAATCTTTCTGGTTAGGCTCTTCTGCAAATTACCTCATGCAAGAATGGCACCTCATCTCTGGCTCTGTGGTACTCAGCCACACACTCTAAGCAGTAGCAGAGGTCTTCATCAGCAGTTTGAAATTCACTCGATCCAGTGCTAGATGCATAGCACTTCAGGACATCAACGGTGGAAGCACCACCTGGAGTACACCAACAGCATGTGCTCATTCTGTACCTAGAACAGGAAAGAGCACTTGTGATCCAAGTCATCTAAAAAACTGCTTCCAGAGCCAAAACTTTCTGCTGAGTAAACCCAAATCTGAAAGCAGTGCAGGGGTGAAGCATAGTAACAGAGTACTTATCTCACATGTAATCCATGGATTTGATCCCCAACATCAGCAAAAACACCTGGACACAATCTGTTAGTCACAACACCATAAGGGGTATGCCATTATGTGCCAAATGGGTTCAAACTACACAGTACTGATGCAAAACCAGAAAAAGAAACAAATTAATGCCTTCAAGATATATATTTCAGAATATCCAAATAACGTAAAAAGCTAAAACTTTTTCATATTCCTAAAAAGTAGTTCTAGAAACTTCCAGACATTAAAAAATACATATAAAGCCAGGTGGTGATGGCACATGCCTTTAATCCCAGCACTCGGGAGACAGAGGCAGGCGGATTTCTGTTAGTTCGAGACCAGCCTGGTCTATAACAGCTAGTTCCACAGCCTCCAAAGCTATAGAGAAACCCTGCCTCGAAAAACAAAATATATATATATAATATACATATATATACATATATATAAATATATAAGAAGTAGTAAGATAGATATGATAACAACCTATTGCCATCAAGTTTTTTTATAAGATCTCATTTATCCTTCACAATCCAAACTCCAATTTAAAAGATTTTAAGATGATCTTCCAAATTCTAGCAGTCTACAAAGAACAAAGTATCAAGAATAAAAAGACTACCAAGTAGCATCAAAGTCAGAGTTAGAAGGATTTCTAAATGAAATAATAATACAAATTACTAGGTGTATATAAAAGTTAACAGAGAGCTGGGCTGTGGTGTTGCACGCCTTTAATCCCAGCACTTGGGAGACAGAGGCAGGTGGATCTCTGTAAATTCAAGACCAGCCTGGTCTACAGAACAAGTTCCAGGACAGTCTCCAAATCTACAGAGAAACCCTGTCTCAAAAAAAAAAAAAAAAAGAGGAACAAAAAAAGTTAACAGAGAGCCCAGTATAGTCAATAGTATACTGTAGCTAAATAAAAAGCAAATGTGTGCCCTGATAGATAAATGAAAAAGTTCCATATAGTTAAAGCTGAAACAATTTGAACAGGATAAATAATAAGACAATGATAAATCAACACCATTCAATTATAGTAATAAAAATAAATGAATAAACAAATGAGACAGAAGGGACACACTTTCCCTAGGAATTCCAAATAATAGCAGTTATATCCTGTTGAAGGAGATGGAATCTCTCAGATGGAGCCCCTCAGATTATAGACTTTTTTTTTCCTTAAGATTTGCATGTATGCCTGTGGGCCAGAAGAGGGCACCAGATATCACTATAGATGGTTGTAAGCTAAAATGTAGTTGCTGGGAAGCTGGGTGTTGGTGGCGCACACCTTTAATCCCAGCACTTGGGAGACAGAGGCAGGCAGATCTCTGTGAGTTCAAGAGACCAGCCTGGTCTACAGAACTAGTTCCAGGATAGCCTCCAAAACAATACAGAGAAACCCTGTCTCAAAAAACCAAAAAAAAAAAAAAAAAGGATGTATTGCTAGGAATTGAATTCAAAACCTCTGGAAAAGCAGCCACTGCTCTTAACAGTTAAGCCATCTCTCTAGCCCTGAACTAGGCTTCTTAAATTGCCTCCAAAAACAAGAATTTAGAAAGTGAAAACACATACACACCCCGAAACTTTCTAATTAGACAAGTGAAGCACACACACCGAAACTTTCTAATTAGACAAGTGAAGCACACACACCGAAACTTTCTAATTAGACAAATGAAGGAAGTTACAAGTATCACTGTGAATTTCTTTATAAATTCATTTCATAAACTCCATGGCCCTAACCCAAACATACTTACCAGGAGGTATCACTCTTAAAAGGCAATCTGAGACAAAAGTTTACTCCTCCATAACAGAGAAATATATGCACACTTTGCACAAAGACTATATTTATTGATAGTCCTAAATTTCATGAAAATAGCAATTAGAAAAAAAAAGCAAGTTCAAGGTCAGCCTGTTCTACACAGTTGAGCTCAGGATAGTCAAGCCTATGTAAAGACCCTGTCTTAAAACAAAACAAACAAAAAAAATCCTCATGATTAGATAAGTACTGCTATGGAAGAAGTATAGAGTTCAATTCCCAGCAGCTATGTCAGGCAGCTCACAACTCTGTGACTCCAGCTCCAAAGGGTCTGACACCTCTGGCCTTGCTTCCTGCACTCCTCTCCTCCTACACACACATATAAAAAAATGGTTACTTTTACACCTACTTCTGAAGCGTATTTTCTTCACACTTCGAACAATTTAGAGTTGCTTTCAACATTAAAATACAGATAGAAAATGATGTTTAGAGATTTAAAAAAAAACTGGGCTGGAGAGATGGCTCAGCCTTAAAAGGCTAGGCTCACAACCAGAAAAAAAATATCTAACTAGGAATTACTGCCATTTCCAAACCTTATGATCACCTTGTTTTTCCCTCTTGCATGGCTTCATCTGAGTCCTAACATCTGTCCTCAGTATCACTGACTCTTGGTATACTTTCATCATTTCTCTAAATTACTGAAGAAATCTAATCTCTGCCTCATCCAACCCACCTCCAGATCTTCCTACAAAATGTTGCTCAGAAGTTACTGGACAAATTAGACTTACAAAGCACAACTTAACTCTTCCAGCTTGACGATAAAATTCCTAGCACTGAGCTCCACACACGAGCGCCAATAATCTTGCTTCATTCTCTTGCTATACGACTCCCACTTCCTACATTTTCTCTGCCTAAAACTCAAATGTGTCTGGCATTCCTTGACAGCAGCTCTCCATCGGCCTTCATACCTCTACACAGCTCTTAATATAAGGAACATAAGCCATCAAGTTGATAATAGAATGCACTGCATTAGTGAGTCTGAAAGAACACCTGCTGAGACCAGTGTGCAACACAACCTTGAGTACCAGCAATCTGGGAAACCTGGCCCTCCTTCCAGGATCTTTGAGAATCTCCTCTATCCACATTTTTATTGCCTTGCTTCCTGATCAAGGTGATTAGGATTTCTGTTTACTTGTCTGCCCCTACCTCATCAATTGGAGTGTCAGGATATGGACCTATTCTTTATTTTTGTAACTCCAGTACTCGATACTTACAAAAAACTGAAAAAGAAGTGATTGTTTTAAAAAAGACAATTACCTTAGCAAAACGTCCTACAGAGAAGTGATCCTCTTTGTTGAGATTGCTGGGATTATTTGTGAATAGATGAGGCTCTGCATTCAGATATACTCACACTTTGGCCCCCAAAAAGAACATTTCTGAAATTAAAAATGAAATAAAAACTGATAAACTGTCCCTTACATTAAGCATCTCACCTGGGCCTTGCATCAACCTTGCGTGTCACCTGATGAGTTACCTCGGTCAGGTTAGACGACACATCCGCAGACAAACTACAGTGCATGAAGGGGAGCGCTGTAACACTGATGCCCTAACTTCTCCAGGGGCTGTTACCCCTCGGGGGCCCGGTGGGCATTTGGTCGTGTCTGCGGTGGGCGTGCGGGAGGCCATCGGCACTGCAATGCCTGGGATCGAGGGGCGCGCGTCCCGGTGCCCGTGCGGAAGCGACGCCAGGGCGGAGGGCTATATTCTGCCAGTCCCTTCCCCGGGAGACCTCCCTCGTCCCGAGGCCCTGCTCAGCGCCCTCGCCGTGCATCGCGGCCCAGAGCCGGCGACGCTGAACCCTGAACGGCAAGGCACCCGGCAGGTCTGGCGTGCAGAAAGCACCAAGCTCACCCCGCCCGAGGCCGCTGCAACTCCCGTAGCTCGCCGCTCTCCCGAAAGATGGGTCGGTGTAGGCGCCTTCCCCTGCGGGCCGCGCGTATACCAAAGGCAAGATGCCGCGCGCCCCTCTACGCGCCCGCCTGATGGCCCGCTCGTGGCCTGCCCGTGACTCTCCTCACCCGGCTCGGCCCCGAAGCACAGCATTAGCCCACCTCCATTCCTCCTGCCCGACAAGCAGCCGCAGGCGGAAGTACTAAGCGCGCTCTGCGCCCAACCCGCTACGGCCGCGCGGGCGGGCCACTCCCCCAGGCCTCCCCAGCTACAGCCTTCTTGTTTTGGTTCGCCAAGGGGGCGGGGGAGTCACAGCGGGAGCCACGGGACTGGCAAAGGCCGGTGCTCTGGCGTCACTTCCGGGCTGAAGGGGCAGTCCGACCAATCAAGGCCTTCTGTCAGAAGGGGCAGTGAGTAAGCTGCGGAGCCTAACCCCGCCCTCTCGCCCGGGCCTCTGGCCTGCCCTCCCCCACCCCGCCTCTGCCACGCCTCCCCGGCTTCTGCCCGGGGCCTCCGTCCTCTGGCCCGCCCCCCGGCCTCTGGCCCGCCCCCCGGCCTCTGGCCCGCCTCCCCGGCCTCTGGCCCGCCCCCCTCGGCTTCTGGCCCGCCCCCCCCGTCCTCTGGCCCGCCCCCCGGCCATTGCCCCGCCCCCGGCCTCTGGCCCGCCCCCCTCGGCTTCTGGCCCGCCCCCCCGGCCTCTGCCACGCCTCCCGGCCTCTGCCCGGGGCCTCCGGCCATTGCCCCGCCCCCGGCCTCTGCCCCGCCCACCCGGCCTCTGCCCCGCCCCCGGCCGGGACGGACCCTTCTTACCTCCTTGCCGTTTTGGTTTCTGTTCAGCTGTTCTGTTTCCTAACGTCAGAGGCGCCTCTGACGGCTTCCTTCTCTTTCCGTCAGAGACCTAGACAGTAAAATGTCCGCTTAGGGCGCCACCGAGTTCAGGCCCCAGCAAAGCCTACACGGTTTAGTCCTTGTTTTCCCGACTTATTAGAACAGGTCCCGCTAACGTAAGAAGACGCGCAGGTCACTCCAGATTCCCCAAAAGGCCGCCCACAACCTCTTCCTCTCAAAAAACGGGAATTCAGGGGGGGGGAAAAATCACTTTCTAAGGCCCGCATGGTGGTGAAATTATTTTACACGCCTACCAGGAGGCACCTAGAGGCGTGAGGCCAGAGGACCCGTCAGACCTGAGGCCAGCATCCCACACAAAGCAAATTCGAGGCCTACATTACAGTCACCAAAAAAAAAAAAAAAATAGTTAAAAACTAAAATCACGTTTTAAAAAAAGCAGAGTGAACGAGAGGTAACTCAGGAGAGCCCTTACCTAGCCCACTGAGCCACTGAGTTCCATTGCCAACGCCACAGAAAAGAACAAAGCAGGAGGAGGCAGATTGGTCAGAGACCGTCCTGCCCCGGGAGAACCTTGAGGCAGAATGAGAAGCCCTCGTGGAAAGCACGAGGGTAGGACTCTAGAGAACGTTCCAGAAAGGGGGCGTGGCTTATGAGGCAGCGAATGACCGTTAGGGGCTTTGGCCAATCGGGAAGCCCAGCACGAGGTGACCGTTATTTTTCTTGCCTTAGGGGGTTTCCCCGCCCCACCCCCACTTCGTCAAAGGTTTCTTTCAAAATCAAAGTTACAAAAAAAAAAACGGTTTCAAGTTAAAAGTACTATGTGTATGGATCGTTTTTAAAATAGCACGTTTGAGTGATACTTTAAAAAAAAAGAAAAAACAAGACTAGATACCTCACTGAAGTTTTCAGAAATGAGAGCAAATGAGATGATAGGAACTGCCCGAATTTCCATGTTCCTGATGGTTCAGAATTTGTTACACAGATTTCAGATTTCAGCTATATAGCGTGTTGTTTTATTCATGAAAGAACGTAAATGCTAAGCTACTCATTGAGGGTAAGAAACATTATTCTGGGGCTGTAGAGATGGCTCAGTGGTTAAGAGCACTGACTGTTCTTCCTGAGGACCTGAGTTCAATTCCCAGCAACCACAGAGCAGCTCACAGCTGCCTGGAATCCAGTTCCAGGGTACCCAACACCCTCATGCAGGCAAAACACCAACGCACATAAATTAAAAAAGAAAAAGAAACTGGAGCTGGAGAAATAGCGCAGCGCTTATGAACACTTACTGTTCTTTCAGAGAACCCAAGTCTAGTTCCTGTCATGTTGCAGGTCACACCTGTCTGCAACTCCGGTCCTAGGTGCCCTCTTCAGGCCTCCTCAGACACTGCACCGCAAGTGGTGCACATGCAATCAAGCAAAAACATTCATAAACATAATACGAAAAGCAAAACAAACAAACAAAAAAAAACCCTCTGAATTCTGAACACATGGACTTATTGTTAAAAAAAAAAGGTGGATTACGCCGGGGAACGCCCCAGAATTGTTATAAGGAATACAAAAAAATGTTTTGGCTTCTTATGAAATCAGGACCAAAAAGTTTTAGGCTGGCAAAGATGGTTTCCATGGCCAGGCGGTGGTGGCGCATGCAATCCCAGCACTCGGGAGGCAGAGGCAGGTGGATCTCTGTGAGTTCGAGACCAAGCTGGTCTACAAGAGCTAGTTCCAGGACAGCCTCCAAAGCCACAGAAAAACCCTGTCGGCCGGGCGTTGGTGGCGCACGCCTTTAATCCCAGCACTCGGGAGGCAGAGGCAGGCGGATCTCTGTGAGTTCGAGACCAGCCTGGACTACCAAGTGAGTTCCAGGACAGCCTCCAAAGCCACAGAGAAACCCTGTCTCGAAAAACCAAAAAAAAAAAGAAAAAAAAAAAAGAAAAACCCTGTCATGAAGAAAAAAAAAATGGTTTCCATGTAACAGTATATTTGTCCCTATACCAGCAATCACAGCAATCAAAAACACGATTTTTACTACTACTTTTGTGGATGAAAATGAAGGCAAATATTTCATGCAGCCCACAAAATATCTCTGAAGCCTCTGTGACTATAATCTTCCCACCCTTGTTTATCTATAAACAATATAAATCTAACAAACGTTTAACATTGGATAGTTGGATTTTACCCTCAGTCGTAGCACTTGGGAGATGGAGGCAGGAGGATCTCCAAGATGTTCCTGAAAATCGGGGGCTGTAAAGTGAATTCCAAGCCAGGTAGGATGCAGAGTGAGACCATATCTTAAAAAACCAAATAGGAGTTTGGAGATAGCCAGATGCCCCAGTCCCGTGGAGACGATTCATGCTGCTCTCAGCCTTGGCCAGAGAAGCGTCTTCTTGCAGCGGGCAGCAGTTAATGCAGAGACTCATAACTGACCAAAGTGCCAGTGTCTCAGATGTAGGAGGTCATGTACATGGACCTCCCACCAGCCAAGGCTCAAAGAAGGCAGAGAGAATGTAAGAACCAGCAGGCGGGAAGGAAAGCTGTGAGAGGCACACATGAAATCACAGCGTTTGTGGTCACCAGTACAACATCAAGCCAATCAAAATTCCAGCACTGGGTGGGGGAGGGGAAGGAGCCCAAGGCCCTGCCCATATCAGATAAGCTACTGGCAGTTGATGTCAGTTGAAGGAAGGAAGGGTCACTCCCCTTTGGGGGAATGTGTCTCCTGCATGTGGGCAACTCTAACTGGACTCAGGGGATGATTGATAGCAACAAGTGGAAATAAAGAGGATTTGAAGCTGGGAGAGGGAGCACTAGGGGAGCTGGAGGAAGAAATATCAATATGCGTTAATATGTAAATCTCTTGAAGAATAAAATATATTATTTTTTAGCTAAATACAGCTAATCCTAAGGAGTTGAAGAGCCCAAACCATGTACAAATGCTAATCCCAAAGATGCAAGGAGAGCCGGGCTTTGGTAGTGCATGCCTTTATTTTTTTTTAAAGATTTATTTATTTATTATATATACACCAAATTGAATTGTAGATGGTTGTCAGCCACCATGTGGTTGCTGGGAATTGAACTCAGGACCTCTGGAAGAGCAGTCAGTGCTCTTAACCTCTGAGCCATCTCTCCAGCCCTAGTGCATGCCTTTAATCCCAGCACTCAGGAAACAAGCAGGTGGATCTCTGTGAAAAAAGATAGCTTTGAAGCCCAAGCTGGTTCATCACAACCGAAGTACAACAATAAATTTGTGAATAGAAAATTGTTTGTTTGGTGACTGGCTTGAGCCCTCAATACATAGCTTCCACTGGCCTTGAACTCTCAGCAATCACCCTGTCCCAGCCTGCCTTCCCTGGAGCTCCCATTAAGGTTGCTTCTTGCCCTTGCCCACCATCATCCATCACCACTATGCAGCAAAGGGCTTGGAGAAAACCAGTCCAAAGAGGTACCTGGACAGCTGCTGGCGGGTAGATGCTGCTATGATCTTGCTAGAACTTGTTATGTATCAGAGGAAAACTTCCTCCACCTCCCAAGAGCTGGGATTACAGGAATGTATCACCCTGCCTGGTTTATTTGGTGTTGGAGATCAAGTCTAGGGCCTGACTCATTCTAGGAACAAACTCTACCAATTGAGCTACATGATCAGCCCTGAGTTCTCATTTTTAGGTGCATATTATTGGGGGGGTTGTTGTTATTGTTTTTGTTTTATATGTGTGTGTGTGCCCTCATGTATGACTGTGTACAATGCCCAGAGGAGGGCTTTAGATTCCCTGGAACTGGAGTTACAGATGGTTGTGAGCCACTATATTATTACATGGAGCCCATGAGAAATGACCATTTAAACACAGTTTATAACCAACTGAAAATCTGTATTCCAACCAGCTGGGACCAGATTTAGGTATTCCATACCAAAGTGTAGCCCCAGACATTTAGATCAAGAGGGTTTTTGTTTTGTTTTGTTTTGTTTTTATTATTGTTTGTTTTGGGTTTTCCAGACTGGGTTTCTCTGTGTAGTCCTTAGCTGTCCTGGAACTCGAGGTGTAGATCAGGCTGACCTCCATTTCACAGAGATCTGCTCACCTCTGCTTCCCAAGTCCTGGGATTATAAAAGCATGCACTATCATCACCCTGGTAGACCAAGTGTTGTTTGCTGCAGCTGTGGGCAGTGAAACACAAACCACAAAACTCTACAAAACCCACATGGAGTTTATTGGGGAAAGGGAGCAAAGGGAGGAGTGGGTGTTGGCCAATGGGGAACAGAGAACAAAGTGGGAGAACAGGTGGGAGGTGCTTGCTTAAAAGAGAAAGTTTGCAAGTTTGCATATGCATACAGAGTCCTTATTCAGCCTTGTAACTCATGACATAGCCATGCAACACAGAGCCCTTAGAGCTGTCTAAATATCTGCTTGAATGCATACCCTGCCAG